AACTGTATTCGCACAGCTTGAGTATGGCTCTCATCCCATCATCTGGGGAAATAAAAGTGTCAATTACCGTCTTGCATGTGGAGATGTCCTTTGCTCGCCCTTCCCTCAAACCAGATCAGAATTCAAATGTTCTGCCTTGAGCCATGACACATTTTCAGTTCTTGATGACCAGGAACACTCTTGGGATTGGCTTCTGGGTGAACCTGCCACCCTGTGGAACTCTTCTTAAGTCCTTAGAATCAAGAAGAAAAGTGACGGGCATACCTTCCTGACCTCCAGAGTGTGTTCAAAGACCTCAGGGCTCATAGACTCCAGGGTTTTAGCATTTGTCAGGGAGGGAGGTAAAGCAATGCTCTGGACGTTTATGTGGCCCTGGAAGTCACTTGCCTAAGGCATAGAGTGGGCTAGGACCTGAACATGGCTGAGACGGCTGTTATTTATAGTTCTCAGCCAGTTTGTAAGGGGGAATGGTCTGGAACCTTCCACAGGGTCACCATCGCATTCGGTGGAGACTCTCCTCCATCAGGATTTGGCCCTGGGCCCCCACTGCAGGTGGTTGGTGGTAGCAGAAGACAGGATGGGGTCATTCTTTTCAACAGGTATGTCCTGTACCAGTACAGGGTGCTGAGGACCATCAGCAGGCAGGGGGAACACCCTCACCCTGGCCTCCTGGAGGGGGGGGGGTCAGGACTTGTATTTTGGATTTCCCAATGCTTTCGTAGGAGGGCCAACAGGGGTTGGGGGCGGGAGCATTGGCAGCTGTGTCCTAAGGTTTGCCATGCAAAGAACTTCCCAAGTGATCCTTTGACTGCCAGCGTTTCAGAGGTGAGAGTCAAAGCATAAAAGTAGGTCACCAGGTACAAAGTAGGGCATTAAAAGTTTCCAGACTTTTCTCTAGGAAAAAGAAAGATCATAGTCTCTGAGAACCTTGGAGATCTATTCCCCTTCTCAGATTTAATTGCTAGATGGACACTAATGAGCTGGGCTTTGGCTAGAGCTGTTCATACACTCAAAAAAAAAAATCTTAACAAAACTGGAGATAGAAACTGCATTGATTAGGCAGGCCCTCGCTGGGCAGGTCCCAGATGTTACTGCTAGGTTTGAGTTGCTGATCCCCATCACTGTCCCCTACTGAGCATTCTCGGAGGAGAGGCAGTAAACACAAGTATCTAGCTGGGGACCAAGTAACTTCTAGATCAGTGGTTCTTAACCTGGCTGTAACTGCTACAGTCCCTCATGTTGTGGTGACTACCAACAATGAAATTATTTGGTTGCTACTTTATAACTGTAATTTTGCTACTGTCCTACATTGTAATATAAATATCTGATATGTAAGGTATTTGATATGTGACCCCAAAGAGGTTTCCGCCCACAGGTTTAGAACTGCTATAAGATTATTGGATCTCCAAGTACAGGACCTTTATAAAATCAGTTTTGGGGATATGGCTGAGATTCTGATTTCTAGTTGTCACTGAACTCTACTTCTCCCTCAAGTTACATACACAGCTGGATCACATTTTAACTCCTTCACAGCCATGTTTGCTGTGCATGGGTGCTTCAAGGAAGTCTTGCTTAGAGCTGGTCCCTCCCTTTGCTGGCTGCAACTCTTGACCTGCATTTCATCTGGGCAGCACAGTAGTGGCATGGGTGAGGAAGAGCCAGCCCCAGATGGCATGAGAAAGGGAGAGCTGGCCCTGCCCCTCACTGGGGCAGTGCTGGAGAGCTGGCCCCACACCTCACTGGGATAGTGCTGGAGAGCTGGCCCCACCCCTCACTGGGGCAGTGCTGGAGAGATGGCTCTGGTGTCAATGGCACAGGAGAGCTGGTGAGCTGATCAACTTAGCTTCCATCCAGGCACAGATCCAGGTCTTTGAGTTGGTCTACCCCAACATCTACCCCATCTATAATTTGCTGGAGCGCACAAAGGGACCAGTCATGTAGGATCTCCATGACACAGGGCAACAACAGGATATCCAAGAGGAGTCCTGGTGAGGAACCAGCACTGATAGAGTAGTAGAGTCCAGAAGCCTTGAACCACAGCAATGGCTCATTGCAATGAACATTGCAAGTAAAGCTGTTTGGGCAAAAGATATAATGTGTGACACACCATGACACAGCACTTTCTGGGGTGAGAATTTGTTGTTGCTTTTGTTTTTGTTTGTTTTGTTGTTTGTCTTTTTTTCTTTTTCTCTTTTTTGTTTTCTTTGGGACAGGGAGGTTGCAAGGGTGGAGGGTAGATATAAAGGATGGAAAGATGAGTGGGATTGGGGTGCCTGATGTGAAATTCACAAAGAATCAACATAAAGTTATTTTTAAAAGTGCTTTCATAGGTGCGTGATATCAGCCAGCCTGATATGTCACGGTCTTCAGCAATGGAGTCTCAGCTCCTAACCCTATGTCAGCTTTGAAGGAGCTGCTTTATTCTTTTATCACCATCTTTTCACAGGCCTTGATATCTAATAACTTTGTGTCTTCTCAGACCGACTGGAGTGTCTCCTTTCTGAGCAATCAACCTGCGATCCCAAGGGACTGAGTTGGCTTAAGTGTAATGTAAGTGGAAATGGTACTTGCTATTTGGGGTAGGTGCATTAGGCCTTCTCCTTTAGTTCCCTGGATATGGACTTCAATGATGTTCTACAGCATGGTAGGCCCATAGGCTGGAGGTTGCTGGAGATCAAGAACAGATGCCTTGCTAACCTGAGCATCCTCCCAGAACTCTGAGTTAGAAATGAGCTTGCACTGTACACAGCCACTGAGTTTGGGCCATGTGTTTGCTAGTTCAGCTGAGCTGTCCTGACTACTTCCCCCTTCTCATCAACCTCTTTAGAGGAGATAGAGGAGTTAGAGAAAGATGTGTCTTTAAATATGAATGATCACTGGCAGGTATGAGTAGACACTCAAGTGCTTACTACGACTAGACTTAGGCTTAATTAGAGATCCTTGGAACAGATGGTTAGACAGAAGAATAAGTCCTGGGGCAGCTTTCTTGTGTGGAGATCTAAACTCCCTTAAAATGTAGTCCAATGCTACTATGTTATCAATAAGCAAACAATAAGCAATCATAAAACAGGGAAAGTAAGTTCTTATTCTAACAAACAGGAGACTAAAATCGTCCTTCCTCCTTTTAATAGTAGGCCAGGTTTGGGATGTAACATAGTCAATTCCCTTGACTATGGAACTATCCATACCTTTCAATGATGCACAGTGGTAGATTCAGACACATGGCATATAGTTGTATACTGGCAGGTGAGGAACGGTAGATATGTGGAGTTAGAGACGGCATTGTCATCTGGATGGCTGGCTACTAGGTAGATACAGAAGCCATGGAGGCTATTGAGATCTGTTCTCATGGTTATGTAATTAGGATGTGGGGTGGGGTGGGTATGCAGTTCTAGTGAGACATGGAACTCAAAACCCATCTTTATACTCTGGCCCAGTAGAGGGCAGCTACCAGGCAAAGAATATTCCACTGGTCCTACATAGGGTTTCCTTTGCCTTGTAATGGTTTTGTTTTTCTTTATTATATTTAGAATTCATATACTCAAATTTTGTTATGTAGTGAAATGGAGGGAGAGGGTACATTTGATGGCTTTATTCTCTAGGTTCTGGAATGCTCAAATATTGGCCTTTTTAAAAAAAACACTTTCATGGTAACACAAGTTGGGTCGGGGCAGTTTTAAATTTCTTTTTGGTAATTCTTTACATTTTTTTGTGTATATCCCATATATCATGGGATATGATATGCCATGGGGACCAGAGGGTGTCTGATCCTTTGGAGTTCAAGTGACAGGAAGTTGGGAACTTCCTGACATGGATGCTGAGAATGTAGCTTGTGTCCTCTGCAGGGGCAGCAAACTGTCTTAACCACTGAGCCATCTCTCCACCTCATCTCTTGAAGCTTTTAGCATGGCTTTATGATAAGTTTAGCATTGTTTGGAAGGATTGGAGATATCATAGGAGCCAAAGTTGGACAAGCTGGACTGAACAATGGAAAGCCTTTAGTCACTGGCTGACGTATTTGGCTCTGGGTTGACAGCAACATAGAACCACTGAAAAGGTTTCTTAGCAATGCAGTGGTAGGGCCCATGAACAGACTTGAGATGGTTTTCAGAGATCACATTAGAATTAGCACATTAGGTGGTCAGGGTCTAGACTTGGCCAGTGGCAGTGTAAATAGATCCACAGTGGATGTGGGCTTGCTAGGCCCTGGCAAGCTGTGAGGGTAAAGCCTGTAAGCAGGACTCCTTCATAGCCCCGTGTCCAGGTTCCTGCCCTGACTTCCCTGGACAACAGGCTGTGATATGGAAGTGTGGATGAAATAGTCCCTTCTTCTTCATGTTGCTTTCATCATGGTGTTTCATCTCAGCAAGAGAAACCCTAATTAAAATAGAAATTGGTACCATACTGTGTAGTATTGGTGTGACAGACATGCCCATGTGTTTTTGGGAAGACTGTGAAAGGACTTTGGAATCTGGGGCTATAATCACTATGTGTGCTTAGAACCTACTGAGCTATTGTGGGGATGGAGAAGCATGCTGAGAGCTTTGCAGACAATGGAGGGAGGGCTGGCTAGTCTAGCTCCAGAGGGAAGTTCTGGTAGTCTCTTAAAGATTCTATCAGGACTGATGATATTTGGAATTAAGAGCCACTAAAAGAAACATTTGCTTTACTGGGACAATTAATACTGGTCAGCTGGAGCTGAGAAATTAATGGTGGTTAAGAAAAGACCAGCCCCTACCCCTAGAGGTGTTGCAGCTGTGGCTGCTGTGTCACAGGTGTGGCAGTAGGTGGCAAAGGAGAGATGCTATGTCTATGCTCAGTGTTCTGACCTATGAACACCTGAATGATTAGTAGCCTGAAATTTCCTGAAAAAGCAGGTATGAGGGGAGGGGGAAAATGAATGGGATTGGAGTGATGTAAAATTCACAAAAATCCTGGGAGAGAAGAAGTGGCAGGGGTGGGAGGTGCTGAGTAAGCTGTAAGGAGCAAGCTTGTATGCAGCACTCCTCCATGGCCTCTGTTTCAGTTCCTGCCCTGACTTCCCTGGATGATGATCAGTTACATGGAAATGTAAGGAAAAGAAATGCTTTCACCCCAAGCTGCTTTTGGCCATGTAGTTTTATCACAGCAATAGAAATGATATGATAAAGCCTTATGCCATAGTCCATACCTATGTGTAGGGACAAGAAGGCCTCTTTCCTGAGAACATGTCCTTAAGAGCATAGATTATCTCATCTTAAAAACAGTTAGCAGAAAAACCAAGGGGAGTATAGCACCCTCTGAATATCCCTAAATACTCTCTTGGGGATGGATGCAAGTGGCTACAACCACTGTTGGAGAACTGCTTAAGGAAATGGCAGTTATGAATGGCATCTTATGAAAACCCACACAACTCCAGAAGAGCAAGGCGAAGCATCTCCACATCCCCGTCAGGAAGGTTCCTTCAGGCATCTTCTTTCTATGCCCTATGTGAGGTGTAATCAGGAATTCTCTTCAGGCCAAACCAGTCCTCCCCTGAGCCTGTTCCCACTGCCCCAGAGCTTTGAAGGAAATTCCACATGTGAGGCCCACCAGGAAAGACTCCACAAAGCTCCCGAACTACAGAAATGTGAACACTGACCCTGTATCTTTAGGTATTTCTGCTGATTTCTAGCTTTCCAGAGAAGAAATGGGAATGAGAGGTCATTTGCTTGTGATCAGTATAACAAAAACATCTCTCGGGCTCCAGAAAACCAACCTGTTTAGCCTCAAAACTAACTTGTCTAGCCACAACCTGTTGGCAGATTTACATGGAGGAGGGGCTCCTCACACACCCCCCTCTGTCATCAGAGTTTCCAACCATACATGTACCATCACACCTGAGGGATCACTAGAAAATCTCATGAAAAAGTCTTCCGCACTTCAACATGATGAATATAAATTTACTATGCATGTATGTTGCTATGGTACTTATCCATTAAGAAATTTGTCGAGTATAAGATTTCCTGACTATGCTTTCTATTGTCTCACTAAACTAAAATGTAAGGTTAAATGAGGCAGATACCTAGAAGTGGACATTTAACATCTGACATTTATTGAACCCCAGTGGTTACTATTAATGAAATGTAATGTAGTCTTTTGGAACTTGTACATATATGTCCACACACATTTATACACACTACATATGAACACTCAAAATTTGGGTCATACCACTTATTTTGTGAGAACATCCTTTTTGCAGTGTGGGATAGCCACCCCAACTCACTGTCTAACGAGGATGCTGAGAAACAGAACTTAGGTTCTCTGCAAAAGCACCAAACGCTCATACTGCTGACCCATTTCTCCAGTCCCCAGGAGGCATTTTCTTGAAGTTCTACCTTAAAGTCCTGAGGTCAGGGCAGAAGCAGGTGTGAGTTTGTACAGCAGGCTAATATTTCAAGAGAAGCTACTTAGCCATGTGGGTCTCTAATCAATACCATGGATTTATCAAATTTCACCTGAGCAGTTGGCTCTGATTTTATAGGACTTTCTGATCCAGCATTGTGCAGTATTAAGAAGGGACACAGGGAATACCTGTTCTTGAGCTTGATATGCATACACCTAACCATATACATTTAAAAACTCGGAAGCAGCCTGAGAAATGAAGACTGACATGATCGTTAAGGAGGACAGTATTTGCCTTCCAGTTAGATGCTTTGTGGTGTGGTGGTGATTTAGGATTAGCAGTGGGGAAGAGATTTCTGGTTTGGGGAAATTATAGGAGAGATGGAGTTGGGTTGGAATAGACAGAAACTGATTGCTTAGAAAGGAACTAAAAAGATGCTTGAGAAGGCGGTAGGCTGAGCAGGCAACGGGAAAGTAGAATAAGCACTGGAGATACCTTAGATTCTCCACAGGGAGGCAAACAATGAAAATAGAATTTTACCATGGTTAACTGTAGGGGGGTCTTAGGATAAAGAGAAGAGTGAGCCTACAGTCAGGGAAGCCCATTGGCTATGACAGAGTGTCCATCTAAACCAAGGAAGAGGCTGTTCTATGAACAGTCAGAGCTGAGAGGCAAGACAAAAATGAAATGACATATAGGTCAAAGAAAAGGAAAGACAAAATGAGACCAATGTTTATAAGCCACCAGAATCTCAAGATTGCTTGCAACAGAAATAGTCGAGTAAAGAAAGCATACTGAGGGTCTTTCGAATTGACCTATATGCAACTGGAAACACAGCACAAGACTGTCTTTGATACATGAGCAACGACAGCAACGTCAATGTTAGCGATATGAGGGAACATTTACCAGGCAGAAATAAGGGTGAGCCATTTGTGATGGCTAAGCTTGGCTTTCAGCCTGACTGGGTCTGAAATCAACTAAAAGACCAGCCTCTGGGTATTTACTGGAATGATTAACTAAGAAGGGAATACCCTCCTTCAAGAATTGGGCAGCAACTTCCAGTGACAGCCCGGATATGAAGAGCTCCAAGGGAAGAGCATGGGCTTCTACCTATCTACCTTTGCACCTTGCCAAGTTTATCCACCCTGCTGCTGCCACTGCTGCTATCCTCACCCAGTCTCCTGTGCCTTCCAATATGGGCCAAAGACCAGCCACTCTTCAGGGTCTTTGCACCAGAACTGGAATGTTGAATCATCTGGCCTCATGGTTATCAGCCTCTCCAGAGTACAGCCATTGTTGGACTACCCAGCCTGCATTGTATAAGCCAATCTGATGAACCTCCTTTGTAATATACATTCATCCTATCACTCTTTTCCTTAGAGAACCCTAATACACCAGACATAAGCATTTATATGTATTCTATATCTGTATTTGATACATTACTAGATTAAACTTATACTTTATACGTGTTGATATTATATATTATATGCATAAAAACACATATTTATTCATAAACTTATTTTTTGTATGGACTTTGTAAACTGAGGGTGTCACTCCTGTCAACAAAGGAGTCAACAAAGGAGAATACACCACGCCTGGGCAGCAAGTGGCCCTGGTGGCATAGGTGTGGCAGAGCATGTCCAAAGGTGTAAGAGCATGAGAACTGGACCTGTCCTTCACTGGGGCAGTGCTGGAGAGCTGGCCCTGGCGACATAAGCATGGGATAGCTGTCAGGATGACCAGCAAAGCTACCACCCAGGTCCAGATCCAGGACCATAAGTTGGCCGTATTCCATCTATAAACTGCTGGTGCATGTGAAGAGCCAGTCTTGCAGATCCTAAGCCGCAGGATCTCCACGACACAGGGCAACAACAGGATCTCCAAAGGGAGTCCTGGTGAGAATCCAGTATTGACAGCGTAGCAGAAGTTGGAGGCCTTGAACCAGACCAATGATTCACTGTAATAACTATTTGTGTGTAAAGCCGTTTGAGCAAAAGGGTATATATATTGTGTGACACACTGCAGCTTCCATGGTGAAATATTTACTTATTGTTTTCTTTTGGAGGGGGAGAGTTGCAATTGCAAGGGTGAAGGGTGCATGTGGAGGGACAGGAGGATGAGTGGGGCTGGGGTGCATAATGTGAAATTCACAAAGAATCAATAAAAAGTTAAAAAATAATAACCAGAATGATGTAGCTTCTAAAAAAATGGGAAAAATGGGCAAAAAATCTGAATAGCTTATAGATGTGAAATGGTGCTTAGTGTTGTTGACAATTATGAAATGAAAATATAAACAGCAGGCACATAAGCGACAAAAAAACCCACCCCATCAATAAAAACCCAAACCGAAAAAAAAAATCCCCCACTGAAGTCAAGTACAGGGAAATGTCAAGTCTCTTACAATGCTGGTGACAATGAATGCTCACTCCCCATTCTGAGGAGCAAGTGGCAAGAATTTGGTAAGGCCAAAGCCAGGCTTTTGCAGGGAGCAGCTCCACCTCTGGAATAAAGTCTGGGGAGACAGCCTATTTAATCATACACCTCAGAGCCTGGTTCACACATTGTTACTGCCATGCAGGAAGATCAACACACTGATGTGTGGCTACTGAATAAGACTATTCTGTGCATCAAAGTGGATGGATTATATCTAAGTGAATCATTAGGGGAATATCTAGAAAAGACAGTACTGAGTTAAAAAAAATGTTGTAGGCAGACCCATAGCTAGCTATGACTATCATACAGTGAATACACACACACACACACACACACCCCACACACACACATAAAGATGATCTAGGAAGATTCTCAGAAACTATAGGTTAAAAGGGGAACCAAGATGAAGAATATTAGGAAAAGACTAGGGCATAAAAAGGCTTCATGAGCTGGCAAGATGGTGACCTGAGCTTGGTACCTGGAAGCCACATAAAGGTAGAAGGAAAGCATTTACTTATAAAGTTATTCTCTGATCTCTACATGTGTTCTGTGGACATCCATACCCACACACCTACCCCTCCCCTCCACTACAATAATAAACAAACACGCATAAAAGGGAGGTTCAGGTTTACCTGTAATTTTTTTATTTTAAAAGTACCTAGAAAAACATAAGAGTGGCTAAACAGGAGTGAGAGATGTGTTGTTTTAGTAAAATTGTTAAATCTCTGTATTTTTCTGTATTTTAAAAATTATCCATTAAACTGCTTAGTTTTCAATTTTTTTTTTTTTGTTGTTGTTTTTTCGAGACAGGGTTTCTCTGTATAGCCCTGGCTGTCCTGGAACTCACTCTGTAGACCAAGCTAGCCTCGAACTCTCGAACTCAGAAATCCACCTGCCTCTGCCTCCCAAGTGCTGGGATTAAAGGCGTGCACCACCACCGCCCCACCCTAGTTTTCAATTTTTAAAATACCTTGTTGCACTTGCCTAAAGTCCACCTCAGAGCCTGGTTCTGTAGTATGACATCAATATATATTCTTAAACTTTGTGTCTAGAGTAAGAGTCTCCTTTTTTTACGCTTCAGTAGCTCCTTGTGTTCTTTAAACCCTGGGCTAACCCAGCATGTGAGAGACAGATGGTTGAAAAGCCATGGTTAAGAAGGTACACACCAGCACCATCTTCCATCCTTTCCAGTTGCGCACCATACGCCAGGCACTACGTGTCTCACACATTAACCCACTGAATCCTCCAAGAAAACTTCAGGTAGATTGGATATTTCCATCTTACAAATTATTTCTCTTTTGCAGTTGAGACATAGGAAGTTAAACTGTCTGCCTCTGATTTGGAGCACTGTAGTCCTGAGGATGGATGGTCAAGGTCATACAGTCACTGTCAGATCTAGGTTCAAACTGTAGCAACAAAGTAACTTAACCCAAAGGTAGAAAATCCCCAGTTGGGCTGGGGAGAAGGCTCAGTGGGTAAAATGCTTGCTGTGCAAACATGAAGACTTAAGTTTGATTCCCAGTAAAGACATTAGAGTGGACATACAACTGTAACCCCAGTATTGGGAGTCAAGGGAGGATCCCAGGGACTCACTGGCCAACCAGCCTACTGGAAATTGAGTTCCAGGTCCAGTATCTCTGTGCCTCACTCTTCACCAAACCCTAATAAATATCTCCTAAACATTATTTATAAGGAATCAAACTCCTAAATGTTGATTCATTTGCATACTGATCATAACATTCTCTCCTCATTTTCATTATCTCTTCCCTTTCTTAAGCCTAGGCAATATGGGTAGGAGAGAAAAGGACAAAGGGATGGTTCTCAGGAAGAATACAAGTATGAAGTTGCCTACCTGCATTCAATAAAATGTCCTCAGACATCCACTTCGGGGTGTACTCCACTGCTACTGTGTATTCACTTGGTGAGACATCTTATCTATGGGACCATTCAGATACTGTACAAAGATTCATACCACGAATATGCTAAGGCAATTGACTATACTGTGTCAACTACATAGCTCTTGAAGGTGTATATTTTAGTAATTTCCCAATCACAATATCTTGTAAAGAGCAGTGTGATTTTAAATTTACTGTTTTAATTAATTGTCCAGTGTTTAAAAAAATGAACTGAAGCCTGACTGACTGTATAATTTTAATATTTCGAAATGTACACAAATAAACTCAATACAATACAGATTTATACAAAAGAAGGACTGCTAAAAACTTATACAGAAAAAATAAATAATAGTTTTTTTTAAAAAAAGGACAAGACATTTTATAAATACTAATAAATACTTTGCAATGCTTTAATTTACTATGGCAGATAGAAAAACTCAAGAAGTCATTAACAGGTTGTGTATTTAAAAAGCTACATGAATATTCTAGCTGATTAAAATAAAATGTAACAGTAGTAGTTTTTACTTTTAAAATGAGGTATTATTACATTGTAAACCAAAACAGAGCATAAATATATGACTTAGCAATGAATGGTTATAAACGTCAACTTAATAAAAGACAACAAAAATTCCCATTATTTATGGACTTTTGTCACTCAAAATTTGGCTTGCCTGTGTACTTGCAAAAGTGACATAGCTGTCAACACACACACATCATTAGACATGCAGACCACACCAGTATTATCTCCGTGAGTCATCCCTAACAAATAAACACTTTGTTTACATTTTACTGAAAACACTTAAATCTGGTTTCCTATACATAATTCTTTGTGCTTGTTAGTAGGAACCTACATTAAACATCTCTACGCAGTGCAAGAAAGAAGCAGTTTTATTTGCATATGGATTAAAAACAATATACACACGAAACCAAATGTACCTTTAGCTGTCTTCGGCTTTCCAAGATTTTAAAGAAATATCCTTTTGGTATACTCAAATGGGAAAGGAGTCATTTGCAGTCTCAAGCATTACAAGAAGGGAAATTGGGTTTTCTAACACGTGTAGGTGGGCTTCAGAACTATGGGCACGCTGATGAGTTACTGCACCCTTGAATTCTGCTGGTCGGGTGCAGAAAGCATAGCGACAAGGAAATGCCTAGCTCAGGGAAGATTTGGGCCAAGTATTACTTGCATGTGGATCATATGCTGGTACTAAATGCTGGTTTCATTCTTATTGCAAATGTCACTTCAGAGTTTTCTGAAGAAAAGCTATCAAAGAATAAGTCTTGAGATGGAAATGTTTGTAACATGCTAATAAAACTGCTTCACTATAAATTAAAACAAAACAAAAATCCTGGGGCTTAAAAATGCAGTTTTTACATGCTATTTTACTATAAATAGAAAAGAAGGGTACTTTTGAATTTACTATATTTAGAATCCAGTGAAAAACAAACATTTTAGCCAAAATGTCAAACTTTTCTTTTATATTAAGCTACATCATTTTGACATGAATGTTTTTTATTGTATTTCACTTTTGTCAAATATCTTATACTACATTTTCCAAAAATTAGTGTTTTCATATAACTGGTGATCAAAAACGTAGATATAAGTAGTACATCAAAATATATAAAATAGCAGGTTTCTTTTGTGCTTGTAATTATTTTAAGTAATCAATGACTAGTTTGGTCTAATTTGCTCTACTATATTGATTTTTAAGAAGAAATGACCATTATACAAACATTACAGAATACTCAAGTAACCAATTTACTGTCAGTGAGCATGCAGACTAACAATACTTAAAAGAATATAACCTTGAATCCAATTGGTCTGAAAATACTCTTGTACAATCATCTTTGTTGATTTGTAAAAGCTGTATACACATCTAAAACCCTAAATTTACTTTGTAAAAATAAATCTATAGCAATAAATGGCACTATCAAAATCCCATGATTCTTCGGCTGCTGTGTAGTGTTATTTACATGCTTTTCAGCAACAGGTGAAAAGATCTTATAGGACCCCAAACCGATATATCAAAAGACCCTGTACACTGCATTTGCAGTTACACTGTTGTTGCCTTTGTATGAAAATATGGCTACATGCTTTCTGGTAAAGATAATGTAGCTCTCTGCTCTGCTACAGTGTGCTGCCGGCACACATCTGCCACTGGGCTCCCTCAGGTCAAAGATGCATTCTTACTGCACTTGGCTTTCCCAGTGGATACCTGTGACAGACTGCATATGGAAAACAACGAAAGGCTATAAAAAGACAGCTGGACCCAGGCCTGTTTCTGCCATAAGCTCCTTTTCTCACTCAATAAATTTCTGATATATGTATTTTTTAAATCATGCCTTCACTACACATATTTCGTATCTGAGTAAAAAAAAAAAGACCCTCATTATTTAAAAAGTGGTAAGCTTTGTGAAAGTGTTTTGAAACAGAAACATGAAAGTGTTAAAGGCACAGTAAGAGGGAACTGAGTGCTACATATAGAATACTGTATTTCAAGTCTTCTAGGTTACTCAAGTCCAAAACCTTCTGAATTAGAAATTCCAATAATCAGTTTCTGTTTCAGATCTTTTTTGCTCTTGTATGGGGGAAGGCAGAGTTGATTGAAGCAAGTGTGTGCCACAGGTAACCTGGAGGGAAAAATAACTTTTTAAGGGACACTGGGTCTTAAAACAGACATGAAATGACTAAGAAACTTAAAAAACTCTGCATACATTGAGATCTACTTTCCTGTTCCATGATGACTCATGTCTTCTTTATTGAGAACTTAAGGGTCAAGTACCATTCTAGAAACAGGACCATGTTTATAGACAAGACAATCAACACACCTGTCTTCATTAAACTCTAATTTGAAAAGCATTTTGTTTGGAGTCAGACAGATCTGAATTTAAATACTGCTTCCCTCACTTCGGTGGGATTTTGAATTGCTCAGTGTCTCCAAATCTCAGTTTCCTCACCAGTATGTTAAACTGGGTAAGACTGTGATCTACGCAAAATACCTAGTAGATAGTATACTGTTATAGTTCAGTCTCCATTGTCAACAAGCCATTCTGGGCCTGTTTTCAAAGCTCTATACACTGAACATCCAGTCCTTGAGTCCTTCTGATCGGTTCCCTCCACATCATTCTACCAGATAACTGTGAGCATTGTTGTCTTCATCCAGAGTCTCTAGAGGCATCTCAAAGCCTTCTCTTCAGATTTTATGAATTTCTCAGCATCATAATAGATTTCAGCAAAGTCAGTATGTAAGAGTAGAGAATTAGCCAGAGAACAGTTAAAAAAAAATCTGTATGATCAGCGCTTAATACTACAAGACCATATGAAAAGACTTACAAATACTAGGTCACTTACCATTTATGGAGTCTCTGCATTAGGATAAACACTGTAGCATACACTCTGATATGCACTGCTTCATTGAAGCCACAGAGCAACCTAAAAGTGGTTATTATCCCCAGTGTATGGACAAGGAAAATGAGACGTGGGAATACACGGATCAAGTATCCAAAGCTGGAAAGGAGTAAGCTTGAGTTTCAAGTCCAGTCAGGTCTGACTCCAAGACCAGTGCTAATTGCTAAGATGTGAAAAAGCACTGCCACTCACATTCAACAAAACCTATGAATCGACAACAGTGTGCCTTACAGAAGGGATGAAATTTCTTAGTTCAGATGGAATACTGTCCTTGCCTTTTGAGGAACACTGTCACTGTACTAGATGGAAATGCCATGTGTCTTTGACAGTTATATTTAATCTTATATTTAATTAATGTGAGGTCCCTGCTGGGAATTTATAGAGTCATTCCAGATTCAGAACTAAGCTATATTAGCTCCTGAAATTATCCTTGAAATAAAAATAATCAGAGACATTTATATGTTGCTTTTGTATTAAAATAAGTTACTCATATTACCTTTTAATTGAATATTTTTATTGCTATAAATATTCCAAAGGATTCTGTTGAGCAAATAAACCTATAAGTGTAAAATCTTCTTTTGACATTTTCTCATTCTTTTAATTATGACTTATATAGAAATTTATATATGAGTCATAATTATAAAAAATATTCATTTATATTTTAAAATAGAATATTTTTGTGTGGTATATGCTCATGTGCATATATGTGTGGTGGTACACACACGCACGTGTATACACAGAGACCAGAGGAAGATACTGGGATTAACAGACATTCTATCACTCCCTGCCTTTAGTTCACTGCAACAGGTCTCTGACTGAACCTAAAACATGTCTTTTCTTTGACTTGGCTGGCAAGCCCTAGTGATCCTCATGTGTTTCCGCATCCTTACTCCAGCTCAGGGCTTACAAGCTAATGTGGCCTCACACCTGGCTTTTTATATGCGTGTTAGGGATCTGAATTCAGGTGTTTGTGCTTAACCAAAGAAGAACGATATTCTGATCCCTAAAGTATAATTTTGACATCGGCTTAAATAGTCATTCAGGAAACAGTTACTACACATGGGCCTATGTGGAGTATACGATGCATAAGGCCTACCCTCTCTGACTTGAAGAGAGTACAGTGACTACAATATGAGGTGGAACAAAATGGACTGAAAAAATGATGACTTTCTGGTGTCACAGGAAAAGTCAACATTAAAAAAGATCTTCATGAGAGATAGCAAGCACATATCATATGAAAAGTGAACAAATCAAAAGAATGGAGGAAGGCAGGCAAAGTGTTTTAAGGATGAACCAAAATAATATGTGGATGTAAACAGAAATGATGGACTCTAGGAATGGGATGATGAGGTACGATAAAGCTACTGATGTCCAGCTTGTCAGGGCCAGGTCAGTGTCACGGAGAAGGAGCTGTATAGGAACCTGGACAGGAAAGCGCCCTTAACTCAGCTAGGAAGGAGGTGAAAAGTAACAGCCCCTGGGCGGGAGCAATGGGAAAAGCACAGAACCAACTCAAGTTTGGAAACGAAAGGCCTGAAACAGGAATTGAGAAATGTCCAATGTGTGACCGTAGGGCAAGGGTGATCATAACGAAAGCCATGCCTTCTTAGAGTACTTTTTTGAAGCCACAGAATAGTGGAATTAATTACCAGAATAAATTACCTATTAACACTATCAGAAAACTGTTTAATGTCATGGGCTTTATTAATTCATATGTGAGGAGCATGAGACTTGAAAGACGCCAGTACCAGAAGAACCTAGATTATTAATAAATATAGTAGCAACCTCTGCTCCTTTCAAAAGCCCCAACTTCATGTATTTCCTAATTATAAAAATCATTTACACAAAAATGAGGGCTAGACAACATGCTACTACAAGGCAGACTGGGTTCTAAAGAAGACCACAAAGCAAATACTTGACATAGGCATTTAAAAGCAGACAGAAGGATGTCACCATTAGTACTGGGATGTGTCAACACTGCCAGGAACTTTTCAGTCTCCTCCGTTTCAAGGTCACATTGACCCTGAAGAATTTTACATGAAAATGACTTCAGACTAAAAGACTCTTTTGATTCCAAAATTACTAATAAGTTACATATTAAAAATAAAGTTAGCCAGGAAGTGGTGGTACATGCCTTTAATCTCAGCACTTGGAAACAGAGGGAGTTGGATCTCTGAGTTTGAAGCCAGCCACCAGCCTGGTCTACAGAGTGAGTTCCAGGACAGCCAGGGCTAAGCAGAGAAACCCCATTTCAAAAAATCAATCAATCAAAATCAGAGAGAGAAAGAGACAGATGAATGCTGGTACAAGAATTGGTTTTCAGCCTCTCCAAGGTTGTCAACCCTATTTCCTCCCATCTTGGGACCATTATTTGGGTTCTTTTTGCTTATTCCTGCTGGTCCCTGGCCCTCAAATAGGCAGACTAACTCTGTGATACAACAGATAAATAATTTGGTAGCAAAACCTATTCAGATACATTTTCATAAGTTAGCTATGGAGGACCACGAGACTCAAGATGAGATTGTTACTTTATACAGGGTGTTTCCAAAACCCATCTCCACCCAACCTAAAAGGGGGGACTTCTGCCCCTAGACCAAACAGAGAGGGGCCACCCAGAACCCCCTCTGACAGGCGATCTGAATTCTTGCTTAGGCTGCGAGGGAATATAAATAAAAGATAAAAATATCTCTCTGGGTTCCCTGAGGGACAAGCCTGACTGCATAGGGGTTTATGTCAAAAGTATCCCCTCTCCAGGAAAAAGACATTGGGATGGGTATGGCCCTCATGCCTCACTGGACAACGACAGGGGGACTGTAGCCATTACAAGGTCCCCTTCAAGTACTGGAGGTCAGGCCTCTATCCCCGCCTTCACAAGATTAGAATTGCCACAGCCCTTCTATACTTAGAGAAGGGAGGAGATGTCAGGGGCAGCCCTGCTTACCCACTGAAGGCCTAAAATCAGCCATAGGCCTAAAATCAGCAATAGGCCTGTCATACATGTATACTAACACCAAGTCTTGGGTCTCAGTGGAAAAACATTGAAACAGATGGCTATAAGCTAATGCCAACAGGCAGCTTTTGTGGAAATTTACAAGCCTGAGAAGTCATAGACCTTGTAAATAGGTAGCCTTAGCAGACAATACCAACTTAGATAAGGACAAGCGAGTCATAGGCAGAGTCATAGTGACTTGTCCCCTGAACCTTCACCCAGCCTATACTCAGTTCTGAAGATATCTGTATTCCCCCTGAACACCCACACTCCAGTGTCATTCCCCTCCTCACATCCTGCCTTTCTGTGTTTATAACCCCTGTGTGAATGAATTACAATTTGAGAAAAAATAAATTATTTATAAAAAAAAATCAATCAATCAATCAAGCAAGCAAGCAAGCAACCAACCAACCAACCAAATCAAGTAAGTAAGTTATAATGCAGAGTTTACCAGTTAGTAGACGTTTCATTCTTTGAAATTTTAAAATTCAAGTCAGCCATCCCTCCAACAGGAACTCTGTCACTTCCTGTAGTAAAGTGTAGCAGCTTCTTCTGAAGTTCAAGAGGAAATCCAAGCACAACATCCCAAAAGTATCTACCAAAGGAAATTCACACATTATGTAATCCTTAGAGACTCTAATAAACTAAGCTCTGAGAAAATTTCTTTTTTTTTTTTAAGCTTTAATTTTTTTTTGTAGTTTTTTTTCTTTTTCTTTTTTTTTTATTGGATGATTTATTTACATTTCCTATGTTGTCCCCTTACCCCATCCCCCACCACCCCCTCGGAACCCCCAATCCCCTCGCCCCTCCTCCTTCTTCTCTGTGGATGTAACCTCTATCTACCCCCCCACTCCCACCTCCCCACCCTCAAAATTCCCACCCCCTGGGGCATCCAGCCTTCATGAGGTCAAGGTTCTCTTCTTCCACCTATGCCCAGCAGGGCCCTCCACTTTTACATATTCAGCTGAAGCCCTGGATCCCCCCCCTAAGTGCTCCCAGGCTGGTGGTTTAGACCCTGGGAGCTGTGGTTGGTTGGTATTGTTGCTCTCCTCATGGTGCCACAAACCCTTTCAGCTCCTTCAGTCTTCACTCTAACTCCTCTATTGAGAACCCCATGATCAGTTCAATGGCTAGTTGTGAGCATCTGCCTCTGAATATGTCTGACTCTTGAAGGCCTCTGAGGAGATATCCATATCAGGCTCTTATCAGCATGCACTTCCTGTCTTCCACATCAGCATCTACCTTTGGTGATTGCACATGGGATAGATACTCAGGTGGAGTGGTCTTGAGACGGCCCCTCCTTCAGTTTCTGTCCCTCACTTTGTCTCCATATTTGCTCCCTTGAGTATTTTGTTGCTCCTTCTAAGAAGGACCGAATCACTTGAGAAGATTTCTCTAATACAAATGTGTTTGACAATAGAATAAAATAACATTTTTATATTATTTAACTAGTCTAACAGTAGATAACATAGGACATGTTTTTTGTTCTCTATATAATATAAAAGTCTTTTTTTTTAAAACACAGTGCCAGTAAAATACTATTTAAGAATTTAGCATCTTTGGAAAAAAAATCTCTATACTTTGATAGAAAGAAACTAATATAATTTTTCCCCAGTGGGATTCTAAATGCATTCCTATTTTAGTACTCGTTCATTTTAAGCAATACATGAAGACAGGGTGGGCTGCAGAATATTTAACTTAAGTGATTGAAGAATTCTAAGTCATATGAACAAGCAAGCCACACTCTCTTCTGTTCTCCTATAGATGAAGGTTAGAGCTCACCGGATAGTCAGGTCTGTTTTCGCATAGCCATCATACTGTGTGCTCCTCTGCAGTGCATGCATATCCAGTTCAGGACTGCCACAAACCAGAATTTCCACCTCTTCTGGACGAAGCAGCTGTCAATAATCATAAAAGCCATAATTAAAAATTATAGTCGTAAATGAAATTTGAACTGTTTTCATTGCAGAATCAAATTAGAAATTATGATACTGTTTCAGTAAATCAAATGACTTTTTTGTTGAAGAAAATGCTTTCCATTTATATTTTTCTACTATAGTAGGTATTTTGTTTCTAAAGGTTTGTATCTTATAATAGTAATTAGTAGTTTGCTAGAAAACCAAGAAAATAACTCAGCATGAACCAAACTCATTCTTCTCCAATAGGCAAGAAGCACCGATGTGTCCTGATCTGGCTGTCATGCCACCTCTGCATGCTCTGTGCAATGCAGGTTGGGTAGTCTGCTAGTCTAGACCTAGTCTGCTTTGTGTCACTCACTAACTTTCTACCTTTTAGGTGAGTTAGTTCTCATTTGAGATTAGATCTGAAAAATAGGCAATTATGCCATGTAACTTTTATTTTCCCTTCTCCATCCTAACATACCAGAGTGTCATAAAACTTAGCTACAGTTCAACAGTACTTCTTTTTCAAAGGTACTTACCAGCAAACCTATTACAAAGGTTACTCTAAAAGAGTGGTTCTCAGCCTTCCTAATGCCATGACCTTTAATAGTTTCTCATGTTGTGGTGACTCTCAAACACAAAATTATTTTTGTTGCTACTTCATAACTGTTTGCTACTGTTACGAATCATAATCTGATATACAAGATGTCTGATATGCTATTCCTGAGAAAAGGCTGTTAGACCCTCAAAGGGGTCAGGACCCACAGGTTGAGAACCACTGCTCTGTAACAAGCCAGAAAGAAAGCTACTTGCTCCTGCCACCAATGGAACTTTGGTAGTCCATTTCTTTCTTCTTTAAAAACAGTTCAAATGAAAGGGTACTCCAGTCTCTCATGATAAAATAGAAGAGACATGATAGGCATGATGGCATGTGCCTGGTTATTTAAATATGAAAAAAATCATATAATATTTACAAAATGGCATTCTAACTCCAAGTTCCACAGCTAAGACAAGTCAGATCGCCGTAAGAATCCACCATGCTTTTGGAGATGAACTATAGACTCAAGGTTACTGACAGACCCTTGAGTAGACAGGGGCAGTTACATAGCGTGCTCCTGTGTACCCCAATCCCTGGAGCTAGACAGTAACTCTCCTGCTCTGCTCTGCTCCCAAGTCTCAACATCCTCATACAGCTTTTAAAGCCCTAATTTAAGGCACAGCAGTTATCTCTCTATAGGAGATAGGCGGAAAGAGGAGCACTACCGTTATTTATATTTTTAAAATCTTTTTTTAATGTTTTATTTACATTTCATATGTTGTCCCCTTACCCCATCCCCCACCCACCCAGGAACCCCCATCCCCTCACCCCTCCTCCTCCTTTTCTGCGGATGTAACCCCTACCTACCCCCTCACTCCCACCTCCCCACCCTCAAAATTCCCACCCCCTGGGGCGTCCAGCCTTCATGAGGTCAAGGTTCTCTTCTTCCACCTGTGCCCGGCAGGGCCCTCCACTCTTACGTATTCAGCTGAAGCCCTGGATCCCCCCCAAGTGCTCCCAGGCTGGTGAAATCCTTTTTACTGAATCTTTGTGAGACTCACATCATGTGCCCCAGTCCCATTCATCCCCATCCTCTCATACCCGCCCAATGCCCCTGAAACCTCCCCCAAAAGAAAATAAAAAACATACAACAAAATATAAACAAAACAAGGCATCTATTTTTTAAAAGTAGAAAATGTCTTTTACTTTTAAAAGCTTATCTACTGTGATACTTGAGGAATTATCTGTTATACCATTAGAAAACCTAATTGAAAGCTTAAAAATGAAAACTCACCATTAGGGCATTTGACGCACACACACTATGAAATCCACAGTAAAATGCAGCAAATTGCTTATAGATAGACTTGTTCAGAAGGAAGTCAGTATAAAGCTGGACATACTCTGGAAAGCAAGTTCACACCTGTTACACAGTCACAGTAATACAGTACTAATGCACTGCAAGTTAAAATGGCATCTAACTCACCTCTTCTATTCTGATTGGTAACTGGAATCTTATCACCCCCTGGTTTTAAGTTATAGGATTTAATTACTCCAAATTCTTCTTGAAAAACCTGATGGGCGATACCATATGTTAATTGGTATTGTTAATATACATGGAGGCTTCAGTGGGTAGATCTGTAGAACAGTTCTGCCTCTCTCTTAATACACAACTGCCAAAAGCCTCAACCTTCCAGTGACATTTATATTAAGAAGAGGTGACATTCTGAGATAAAAAAGCAGGTCCTTCCTGTTAAATACAGTTAATACTTTAACAAAGCCCACAGCACTTGTATGGCAAGGTAGAAATTAGTGTTTGTTTTTGTTTTTGTCTGACTCATTACCTTCTCTTAAACTTCCTGTGTTCAGGCAATGTAAGAGGCTAGCTAGTTTTTGATAAAAAGCAAATCAGTCTGGGAATATGCAACTGCCTTGTGGAGTATCATGCCCTTGATAAATTCATTTTTGCATGCTTATCTGCATGTGTGTGCAGCATTGTTTCTATTACATTACTAGCTTTGATACTTTAAAAGCTAGTTAAGTGAGAAAGGATCTTGCTGTCCAGCTCAAAATCACAATTCTTGTGTCCAAGACTCCTGAGTGCCAGGACCCGATACACTGCTACACTCAGACTTAAGATCCCTTTCTTAAGATTTTACATGCTGATTAGTTCTTGTTATCCAACAAGTGCTTAGGAACACATAACATTTTCATATTTAAGATGCACAGTTCATACACAGTGGCATGCTTTCATCAGTACCTGGAATGTTGAATAGAAATCTTCTTCAACATTGCCATCATATGATAAGAGTTCCTTTAATCCATGGGCCAATTCCTGTAAAAATAAAACAAATACTTGATATGTACTTCCTAAGACTCATGATTCTTGTTACTGATTTCTACCATCCATAACTTGGAAACCTGACGTCCACACAGGAGGGAATTCTGCAGTTTATACTATAGAAATCTAACTATACAGCCCACGCTTAGCAAACAGGTGTTACAGCTCTACTGTGATTTCCAGTATAATTTCTGTCTCCCTGCCACATTATTGTTTATGGATTTGCATTGCTTCTCATTTTCAAATCACATATATGTTTTATATGTGCTCCTATTTTATGATGCAGCGTTTAAACATTAGACATACAGTTCACATATGTTAAGGGGCTTATACATTTTAGTTATCATGTCCTCCTGTTCCAAGAAAAGCCTGAGAGTGCTGGGAGAAATATTTTCTTACAAATTCAGTTATCTATGAACAAAAATTTAAAAGTGGAGCTGGCTCAATATTTCATTTTTAATCAAGCTTCATGAAAAATTACTCTTAACTTATATTAAATTGTTTGAAGAGATAAGTAATGTCAGCAGTTGGGATAATCTTACTTTACATAATAAATTTTAATCTCACTAAAAGCACAGGGACCAGGGCCTCAGATCTGGCAGGGTGGAGGTGATTTTTATCATGATTACTGTAATATGTATATTACCAATGACCACCATCTGTAAGAAAGTCACAATTCAGTGTAGGGACCACAAAGAGAACATGAAAGTCTACCATCAGAAATGGATGAAGAGCAGGCTCAGAGCCTGACTGATAAACAATGGCTGCATTTCAACAAGCAATGATACCTCCAGCTCCATTCTTTGCTCCTTTTCCTGCTGAGGAAATGGGGCCTATCTCCCCACAGGCTCCTGGGTCCTCCTCATCTGGTATGATGCCCATACCACATAGGGGAGATCCTTCCATGATGCCCTTCTCCTGGGATGATGTCTGTGGATCCTGCTCTTAGAATGAGACCTCCCATAGGAGGCCACATGCCCAGGATGCTTAAACCTTTCATGATAAGACTTTCTGCTTTTCCTACAGTGGCACCCAGTCACCCTCGGATGACTCAGCTGAACAGATAAAAAGTTTTGTTTTAGTTGGTCTGTTCTGTCAGATCATGATGCTGTGTCTGAATGTTTTCCGGCAGTACAATAAAAGAAGAGTTCTCTCAGTTTCTAGCAAAGAGAATAGTCTTAGATGGGAGAAGTGGGATAAATAAGTCTTCACTTATACTGTGAAATGTGAAAATACAATTGTCAGCTGGGGTTTCTTTTTTTAAGCACATATTTTATATAAATCTAGGCTGGTAGAGATTTGATATGCCTATTACCATAAAACTTTATTTTAAATTATGTTTATTTGTGTGAGTCTGTGTATAAGTATGTGTATATGATTGCAGAGGCCAGAAGTGTTGGGTTCCCTGGAGCTGGAGTTAGAAGTAGTTGTCAGCACTCTAATATGGGCACCAAGAACTGAACTTGGGTGCTCTATCAGAGCAGTAAGAGCTCTTAACTGGTGAGTCATCTTTCCAGCTCCTTATCTGCTTTTAATTACTATTTTTTAAAACAACCTAGTATTGCTATAAGGACATTAGGGCTCAGAGAGGTTAAATAACTCACTCAAGTTTACAAAGCCAATAAATGGCACAGTCAGCATTCAAGTCAATGCCCATCAGACTTAAAAGTCTGCACTATTCTCTAAGGCACACTCTCTTAGGCACACTGCAGAATAGGTCTCTGTCAGGAAAAGACTAAAAGTAAGACAGAGAAGTGTTCTAACAGGGAAGCCCGATTTTAAAGTAAGAACTGGATTAGAAGACTACAAATAAGGAGGCATTTAGCATAACATGACTACAAGGTGTTAACAACATACTTACAGGCATAATCTGGCACAAGTCGTCAATGGTAACACCGCAGATGCCTACTGGTGTACTCTGATCACTAGGTACCACGGGAGGGCTCAGTAATTTTTTGTAACAGCAGGGAGGAAAACGAATATCCAATGTGATGCTGTTATAAACAGCTAGTCCCATGAGCTATGCATACTAAATGTTAAGTATTAACATAAAATCCATGACAACAAATGAGTCTTGAGTTATGCATCAGTCTTATATACTTCTTTCAGATCTAACACTGGCTTTCTAACTAGTCCAACACACCTTTCTTTTTTTCTTTAATTTCATTTTATGTATGTACTATAATTCTCAATTAACGAAAGCCATGGAAAAAGTGTTCATTTGATAGGATTTAATGATTTCAGGCATTCCTATAAATTATTTAATATATAAAAAATACTAAATTTAAGCAAGTATGTTGGTGGTTTTGTAAGAAGTACTTGGCTGCAGAATACAGGCTGATTTTAAAATTGCCATTTTAGTTATTTAAAGCTTAAGTAAGACTGTATTAAAAGAGTTGGTATGAATAAGCATATGGATGTACAAATATTGTCAATAAGATAATAGTGTAAGCACTCATAAATAAAGCTTAAAGGGCTAGAGTTCAGATATCTTATTTACTTGTAAAATTTGTCTACTTACATAGCAGAATGTAACTTATCCATTTGCCAAAAGAGAGACTTCAGATCAAATTTTCTAGTATTTAAAGGTAAGTTATTATATTAAAGTTACTTAAAGAGTCATTTATTTTATAGATTCAAAAGGAAACCTAAACATATAGGCCTAGCAAATTTGAATACTGTCAATTTAATTTGCAAAGGCAAAATGAGGGCTGGAGTTGTAAGACACAGCTATACTGTTTTCTAAGTAACTGCACAGGCTGACAAGTGTGTAAGAAGATAGATACTGCAAATACACTCAAATATATAATCAAGATAGTAGCAAAAATGATGATAATCATAATACTACAGTGTTATAAGTCATAATTCTTCTCTATAGTGATAGCCTCTAAACATTTATCATTTAAAAATTTTAATGCTAAGATCCTAAAAGCAGGTTGCCTACAGTAAGGACGCAGGTTAACAGGCTTATACTACAGAGCCTCTCACACAGATTCTTTACTTCACACTAAATTAACCTGCTCTAGTTGGAAACAGAGAGGGAGGAATTTTTCTGCCTGTGTGACTAAGTGCTTTGTGCTGTGGACAGTCTCAAAACCTGTACTGTACTATACTATCTCTATATAGTTTCAATATCCTTTTCGGTATAGGTACTTCTACTTTTAAAGTATCACTGTTATTAATACTCTTTACCATTATTTTGTGTTTTATGGCTCTACTTGTAAACACTAACTATGTGAGTTTAATTTTAGACACACTTGTTTAACATGAGCTATAGACATGAGAACATGTTTAGTATGATCTTTTAGGTACTGACTCAGTAAAACCCACCAACATTATGAAAGAACGTGACTAGCAATTCACAATTTTATGAAGAGTATTATTTTAGAAGTTCAACAAGTGAGACCTGTAAATTATAGGAAAACAGGAATCCGTGACTGTTCAGCCTTCTTGGATAGTGTGGAATTAGTTGCTCTGGACCTTAGATGTGACAATCTATAAGCATTTCAAATTAACTTGACTATTTCAATGTATAGTTTTATTTTCTGCTTTTCCTTTCATTTACTCTTTCAAGTTCCATATACATCCTCAGGATTTAATCACAGTAAATGCGACACAGCCTCATATGGAAAGACGCTCAGCACTTCCTCAAGTCCCAGGGTGATACCAGTAACAGCTCAGCCTTTCCTCCCCCATCATCCTCTCAGCTTAAACTCCTACCTTCTCTGGGAAGAATACAATATCACATCTTCTCCACCTTACAACCTCACATTTATTTCATGCTATTCTTGGTTTTAATGAAGTCACACACCCCTTAGTACATGCATTATTAATGCATGTAACATAGTCATCTGACTGAGGATAAACAACCTTGCACTGATGCTTATCTACTTATTTAAATGCTAAACTTCTCAAAGTTGGAATTTTTCCCTCTTTTCTACACATCTTCAGCTCTCGCTCATCTTTTTACTCTTCTTTCATTTCCCAAATTATACTTCTTATAATTCTAAAAGCTAATATACAAGGCATCTTTGTCTAATATCTAACCTCTCTTTGTTTTACCAGTGTAGGAATAAATTATACAACAAACTTGAGATAGAAATGAGAAATGGCAAATGAATTATGAAATTTAAAAAGCTGTAAAATAATTATGTATGTCTTAAATATTCCCCATTGCATTCAGTTTTCAATGTTTTAGGGTTACCTCCTTTATGTCTCAGGATTTCAAAGTACATTAAAAAGTTAAATTTATCAGGCTCTTCTCAGAGCCTGATATAGCTGTCTCCTGAGAGGTCTGCCAGAGCCTGAAATATACAGAGGCGGATGCTCACAGCTAACCATTGAACTGATCATAGGGTTCCCAATAGAGGAGGGAGAGAGAAGACTGAAGGAGCTGCGGGGTTTGCAGCCCCATGAGGAGAGCAACCAATACTAACCAACCAGAGCTCTCAGGGTCTAAACCACTAGCCTGGCAGCACATAGGGAGGGACCCATGGCTCCAGCTGCATATGTAGGGGAAAATGGCCTTGTTGGGCATAGGTGGGTGAGGAAGTCTTTGGTCCAGTGAAGGCTCGACACCCCAGTGTGGGGGAAATCGTGGGTGGGGAGGTGGGAGTGGGAGGGTGGGTGGGAGCATATCCTGATAGAAGCAGGAGGAGGGAGGATGGGATAGGGGGTTCCTGGGTGGGGCGGAAAGGAGATTACATCTGAAATGTAAATAAAATATCCAATAAAAAAATACTAAAAAAAACCCCAAAATAAGTTAAATTTATATCATAAATTCTTATGATTTCAACTTAGTAAATTGAGTAAATTAGCACAAAATACAAGGACAGAAAGTATTTTTATTACAAATGGAAAATACTCTATATTTTAAAAAATTTTATTAAATTTTTGATAATTTTGATCTATAACCATTTTGAGACAATATTTAAAAGTCAGCAATTTTCTTTAAATGTATTGAGACTATGGAGGTTTGATATTATACACACACAAACATATTAGAGAGGATCTAATAAATCTGATGTTTCATTTTCTAAAACAACATTTTTCTAAACTATAGATTGGAAAAAAAAAACCCTTAAAAAAATTCCTAGTTTAGTAGCACCTCCTAGTGGAAAATTTAAAGGATACAATTCCAACCAATCGGAACTCAGAATAGTTATCACATTTAAAGCTGCTAAACCAATGGCAGTGTGAATCCTTGTGGTATGTAAACATGCCTGCAAAGCAAACACAATTTGTCCATAGATGAAAAGCACTGGTAAAATACATATGAAATCTACCAAAAACAAATCACTAGTAACAGTTCTGTTACAAATCATCTTTCATGTTAAAAATTTCACAGAATATATTTACAAATCTTAGTAAAATACTTATAGAAGGCATTTTTATTTATATCTTTGAGTTTTTACAAAGATGTACAAGATTTTACACATCCATCTATGCTATCCATAATGTATATGATATGTACACCCTATAAATATAGAAATTCTCCTTTGGATGAAAACATTTAACAGATGCTAATAATTATATAAACATTTTCTCTAAATAGAATAAAGTAAAATTGAAGATTTTTGTCTTTAAAAATTAACTTATTAATTTCTATTTAATTTGTCCGTGGTTTATTCATATATACACGTTTGTGTGTTGACATGTTCATCTGTGTGTGAACCCACAGGTTAATGTCAGGCGCCTTCCTCAGTCATGGTCCATCCAATTTTTGAAAGAGTCTCCCACTGAATCTGGAACTGAACAATTGAGGTAGACTAGTGGGCCAGCAAGCTTGAGGGCTCTGTTTGTCTCTGTCTCCCAGTGCTGCTGTTAAAGGACTGCTGGCAGCACCTGGCTTTACACATGACACTTAGGACCTAAGCTGACCCTCGGGCTTACACAGCCAGCTGTTTACTGACTAAACCACCTCCTAAGGCCACAGACTTCTACTTTTTAAAATGACTATTTAATGAAAAGAAGCTTCACTTACTAGTACAGAAAAAAAACCTCTAGGTTTGTTTTAAAATTCTGAATGTTCTTTATTTCAATGGCACACTTCCATTCATTTGACTTATTCAAGAGATGTATGGCTATTTCTGTACAAATTCTACATCTACAGCTGGCAAAAATGTCAGGGCTACAACTCAACTCTAACAAGTCTAGAGGGACAATGATCACAAACATCAAACACTCACCATAATCTGGATGGAAAATCTGGCGAATTAGGAGAAGGAACCATTCTTTAGTCAAGCCACCCATATCCAAACCAGCTTCACCTACAAATGTAACTTTCAACTTCTTCTTCAAGTCAGCTCTTTTCCGGGTTAACTATTTGAAGAAGTTATGTAGTAAGACAGAATGAAGAGCAATGAAAAGAAAAATTTGCTTTTTAATTTTTGGAAACAATATTAGGCAAACTTTCCCTTTTTTTTTTACTTCCATAAGCGTCTATCCATTCATACTTCTATCCATCCACCCATCCAATTTGCCAGATAGTATAAGCTAAGTGTTACTCATTTTATAGATTAGAAAAAAGAATTAAGGGGTCAGATGCCTTGACAAAGGGTTTTACCCCCAAGAATCATACTGTGTCCAAAATTTTAATTCAGTGGATTATAATATAAATAATTTTTATGGCTCTTTCTATTTCAACACTAAATAAAAACCCCACACAGATAAAATAGCCATCATCTCTTAACTACATGATGGTCTGACTGTAGCAGTGTACATACAAGGAACTTTGCAATGTACATCCATGAGTCAATGTCTGTGTGAATCTGAACAGGTCCTATATACACTATACCCTATATGTCAGACCTGTAAGTTTAGAGAAGAGCAACCTGAGGTGTTGAAAACTAAAACTGACTTGTTATACACCTAATCAGAAGAAAGATGGCGGGTCTAGAGTCCAGGTAGCAGACTAAAAAACATGAATTACATATTTAGGTATTCTACATCAACTCCTCTGAGGAATTAATCTACTACTAATAAACATTAAAACGTTATAAAGCTTATTTATATGAAATTTATCTTAACTATATCAGAATTTATGCAAGTATACATATTGGCACATAGAAATAATACTTTAAAAATTTTAGTAATAAGTCAGAACCATTTTGGAATAAAATATACCTCATCAAGTGAGTCGCTAACCAGATGTGTCCTCCTTACTTTCATGTTTAGAAATAACATATTCATATCAGGTCTTTGTCTTCGAGATACTTTATCCACCAGACTTTGCTAATTAAATAAGAAAGCAAACATTTTCCACTTTTACTTAAAGTATAATTTCATTTAAAACACTTTAAAAGTCAAAATAACTTAATTCTTTTTTATGCTATCTCTCATGTAAATAATTTCATAAATCAATTACATACATTTTAGCTTGTGAAACATCTTATTATTACTTTATTTTGGAACCCTGGTAGCCAGTAGGTACCAAAATCTTGTTCAACTTTTATAGTGAGAAGGCTGAACTGCAATTTCCACAGGCCTCAGACCTTCAATAGCAAAGTTTCCTGTGTAAAAAAGGGGGACATGTAATCCAACGCATGTATTCCTATGCTATGCTCAGGTTTAAGCTATTTAGAATACTTAATTTATCCTAAAAGAATAGTCTATTTCTAGAAATTAAAAAATTAATGTATATATAGATTCAAAGACATTATCAATGTTCAGATCTTTAATTCTAGTAGTTCTACTTTAGAGAATTCAAAATTAGAAATAAATTTATTCCACAAGATATTTATAAAAATATTGTCAATAAAATCAAAGCTTAAAACTATCCTAAGTATATCTAGTAAGTGGAATATAATGTAGCTACTAAAAATGAGTAGAAAAACTATGTAAACAGTTCAAGCAGGGATTAAAATTATGTATATAAAACTGCATTACCTCTGTTGATTAAAGAGTATCAAAGAAAATCTACCAAAATGTTAACATATATGCTGGGTGATAAATATATAAAAGATTTGAGAAATGCAGCTTTCATGTTTCTCCAAAATATAAGCACTGAGTATATAAAAACCAACATATTAGAATGCATAAAAATATATAAATGTCATTTAGTATATAAAATCAATATGCTTATATATTTACTTATCTAGATAATGATTACTAGACTATTTAATTGTCTTTGGTGACAATGAAAATGAATTCTGTGCAAATAAAGATATTTCAGACATTTGAAATATACTAATGTGCTATAATATAATATCTCATGTCCTAAATCGAGTTTGAGACATCTTAAGATTTTGTAGATTACTATAATAGATACTAATTCATAGCCTTCCCCAGGCCTCCAATTTCCAGTGTGAAGACTCTTAGTAGATTTTTGCTTTTCTGGGTCCTATCTTACCAAGGAAGTCTGTATTTCTGGACAGTGCCTTGTGTAACAGATCTCTGTCTTATCCTTTCTTTCTCATCTTCTGATCCTGACCCTATGTAGCTGTCACATGTCCACAGTAAATATATTTACCCCTGTATGCTAATGGAGACAAGCTTAGTGGTCCTTTTCACTGGAAATGTGTACTTGCCATAAGAACACTTCAAATGGAAGAGGCCATCAAAGGCAGGATTTTAGGCAGTCTTGTAGAACTTACTTATTTAATTTTGCAGTTTCAGACTATAGCATAAGTCACCAGTCATTAATTCAAGTGGCATGGCAGTTAGGAAGAACCAGTGAGAACTAACAACGCCACTGGTTCTTCAGTCTATTTCCGACCTCTCACGTTCTGTGAAAGGATATCTGGGGCTCCCCTTTCCCTTAGGAGAATTGCAGCATCTCATACATTAAGCATGAGTGGTAGCACACTGCTATAGACATCTGGATAAACTAGTGCTATCTACTTTATTTAAACTGTAACAAACCACATACCCACAGCAAAAAGAAACTACTTTAAAAAAAAAGACACATGGCACAGAAATGCAACTAAGTCAAAATGTCAAGATGACTGGCTCTACAGATTAACTTTTAAACCAGTATCTGGTATCAAATATGCCCATTTAATCTCATTCTTTAGGGGCAGCATGGCTTTGGAATTCTGCTTGGAGTCATAGGCAATAAAATTTCTTCTAATATTCCCATACTCAATGCAGGCTGATTTTGGGAACTTTTCAGGTACCAAAACCTTTATCTTTTTCTTTGACAGAAAAAAAATATACTCAGAAACTGAACTCCTGAGGAATAAAATATTCTTATATTTTGAAATATCCTAATTTATATTTTGTTGTACACTTGAACAAGACATGGGAATAATTTCTGTCTACTCTGTTTTCTTTCTATTTTAAGAAGCTAAGCTTCTCTTTCATCTTTAACACTGTATATACTCTCATTCTGCAGCATATCATTCTGATATGCACACATGTGTAGAGGAGCAGTGTGAGTGCTCATTCTTGGGCTGTCCTCAACAGCGGTGGGCAGTGCACAGGCCCAGGGAGAAACGTCACCTTGCTCTACATTTTCCTAGTCTGCACTTCATCTGTGTATTTCCCACGTACTGAGAAACAATTATAAAACTTTCACTTTCCACTTAGTTCGATAGGACATATATTAGTGTTAATCACCTAATGTCTTGGTTGTTCCTGATTTCCATGAACTCCAGAGAATGCTGTAGTGTTAATGATCTGTGTAAAGGCATTCCTGGTCTCATCATATTTACACAATGGAGTCCCAACAAGCTTCTCAAATTTGGGTCTATCAGAAACATTTCTGCTGTATTTATAATATACTGGGAGACTGACTAGATAAAGGGTGTTCTATCTCCCATATTGTGAACAGGGTTACCTTGTGGAGGTAATAACATGAATTAATCTTTAACATTTCCTGATTACACTAAAACAATTCATACGACATTTAACTTATTATTTACTATATTGATTACAGTCAGCATAAACATGTTTCGTAGCTGGCTTACCCTTGCGATGCTTATCATCTGTTGTTCTGAGTCTCTTTGAATAATGATTTTTTTTGCAGCTATAGAAATAACGAATGGGTACTGACAGAAGGAAAACCTGCTTTACAAGCGAAAACAGAAAAAGCAAAATGGTGCATTTTTAGCAAAAGTACTCTAAGGGAATCTAAGGTACCTTCCTTGCATATAAAACATTACTTTTGTATGGTGTTTTACCATTCACAAAAGATTTTATGTGCATGAGTTCATTTCCACAAGCCTATGAAAAATGTACCATCCCTAGAAGTACAGTGTTTTAATTCTCTATAGGAAGCCACAACTAATTTTCTAAATATGTGCTAGTCACTTACATTGTTCACACAAATCATTTCCATTTTCACAATCACCTATATTATCACCTGTGATAGCATGGCCAGCAGCAGGACCAGGAAGCAAGGTTGATGGTCCAGAAACAGGACAGAATATTCACATGTTCAAATGAATATACAATTTATTATTCAAGGACTATTTCTGATGTGTGAGCTTCAGAAATGAAGAAACACAGTGATAATTATAGCATATAAAAAGCAGTCATAAATTTAAGAGCAATTATAATAAAAATGAGAAAACTAAAATACGAAATGTACTTACTTACAAAGATATAACATTGTTATCAAAGGGCATGGAAATAACTTGTCCCCCAGATCAGAGCTAGGTCTTACACTATATATGAAAGCCACAAACTACTCAGATATCAATGCATGTGGAAAGAATGAATACGGCAGCAGTAACACATTGAGAGTTTAGACTCCCATCAGAAGCGGCTGCAGTGTAGGTGGGGTATAGCTCAGTGGAAGTAACTGAAGCAAATCCCTCAACTTAAGCTATATTCCATCTGAACATAGTAGGTGGTATATCTGTGGCCACTAGTTGCAAAGAAAACATGACAAAGAAGAGGTAGCCCTATGTACTGAACATCAGACTGCCTTTACTCTGATTCAAAACTGATAATAAATACAACTTGCTCAGTACTAGTAACTAATAAACTACTAATAACTACTAAAGCCAACTAAAGGTTTGAAAATAAAAGAAAATGCAACAAATCTAAAAGGATATATGTTGGTTTCATTATATACTTTAAAACAGTGCTTCTTAACCTTTGCCATTTTGGTTTTATAAAAAATAAAATACATAAAAATTACTCTGTGCATGAAGTACCCATAGTCAGTAGTGACCTGCCCTGAGTTCCAGTTTCCATTCCAGATTCCAGCTGACTTCCCACAGCAGATGGGACCAACTGGAACACCAGTGGAGTGCACTGTTGGTGTGTTGCATTGTGACTAGAAGGAGCTCATATTAAAAGTTGACAATGAAATAATCAAACTATTAGTTGATTTACGGCTACCCTTATACTAAAACAGGAATGAGAGCATCTTTGTAAAAATAACTCTACCAAAAAAATATTCCTCAGACTGACTACAGATCGTAGAGGAAACTGTTTTTCAGTTTTGATTGTTCATATGTACACTGAGATTTGAACAGAGGGCCATTATAAATTTTGAGTCACTTCTGGTAGAATTACTGGAAAATTTAATCCATGTGTTTATGTGGGCTTTTTGGGTCATTTATATCTGTATTTACACCTCTCTATCTCCTGATCTCCTGAATATGTTTAGGAAATAAACTATGTTTGGGATAGGCTTGATAACTTAATCCAAAGTAGAAATGTGGATAAAAAGTATAGTGTATTCAAGAATTTGGCCAAGCATTTTGAAAATCTGTTGCACTACATAAACTGTGAAGCTCCTTTCCCTGAAATATCAATTCTTTGTATAAATAATTCATAATCAGGTTTTGGTACAGACTGAGGGAGAGGAGCAAACATATATGAAGTGGCCATATGTATGTGATAAATGAACTGGACTAGGTATACTGGTACTGTGGCCGCTAAGGTAAGATGGCTTATCACCAGTTTTTGTAAATAAAGAAATCCGGGACATTCACATTAATTCATTTACATAGTATCTAAGGGTTTTTCATGCTAAAATAACAATATGTATTATTCACACAACTGAAAATATTTATCTTCTAGTTCATTAGAGAAAAAACCACATTGCTCCTTGTGTGATGACAACGCATAAAATAGCAAGTAAGCCAAGAAACCTCATACCTAGGGAAGAACCTTGCTGTTCTTGAAAAGATACTTTTAATTAAACCAAAACTATATAACATGTTTATAAACTGAAAATGTAACAAAAATTAAATCTCTTGATAGATATAACGACATTTTAAACCTACATATCTAAATGATATGTCTATATATAGAAATTATATACATACTATTTATAGAAACTTAAAATCCAGTTATTACTTTAATAGCATTTTGTTAGGTAAATAATTAGATGAGCCATTGATCATACCTGTGAGAGTTTCCAAAGCTCTGCCAAGTGTGGTACTCTTCCATGAGGTCAATGTGATCCAGGGTAGAATTGTAAAAATCAGTGTAGGGAACAAGCGGAGGGTGAACCAAACTGTTGGCAGTGTCTGTGAAGAGAAGTTCTTATGTAATGCTCTTTCCAGCATGTACATGAGTTATTCTAATAATAAACATGTCATTTTAATATCTACTGGCTAGTCTTAACTTACACTTCTGTTTTAAATAACTACAGTTCCAATGAAAAGGCTACTTCAAACTTTGTGGTAAAAAATATATATATAGCTATTTCTTGCTTTTAATAAAAGTGATAGGATCATAAAAATATTTAGAGAAGAGGGTAGATGGTAATCTATCATCATTTCTCTACCAGTGTTATATCTTGTAGTCCTCGGTAACTAGTGGGAACTCATGTTTTCTCAGGAATGAATACTTAGTGAATCATATGCACTTAAGATTATAATACAAGCAGAAACAGCTCTTCCCAGTTTTGTAAAACATCCATAATTTAAAAAAATATATTTTGTAAAATCCATAAAACAGAAAATGACTTTGTTTTCTTTAAAATAATGATTTAAAAGCTAAAGCTATCTCTGTAGTACCCAGTGACCCTTAAGATATGTCCCCAATACTTATCAAGAGAAAAGGAAGAGTGAGTGAATAATCAAAACCTACTAAGTAGAGCCAGAACTTTAGCAGCTGATGGAATCCACCAGGTACACTTTGTTAGAGGTGGGAATTCTTCAGGTTTTGCTGGAAACAGGCGTAAAGAAACAAATTGCAGCAATCTCTCTACCAGTTGCTTGAATTTCTTCTGGGTTAATCTGGTAAAGATTTTGAAATAATTCCAATCAAAACTTTCATTTCTTATTTTGTCAATATATTCATTAGAGATCAAACTACATACACACATACACATATCCTATACACATAGAATATAGACTATTCATTTTCACAAATTATATTTATTAAGCTGAAAACATTTCAAAAGATGTGAAATCCTACCAATACTATTTCTCAAATAAGAAATAAACACCAAAATTACTACAGTGTCATTAATATAATTTTTAAGGCTTTCAGGATTTAGCCAGTTTCATTATTCACAGATCCTGTTCTTGAAGACTGACCTGTATGCTAAGATTTGTTCCTTATTCCCCATGTCAGCACTTGAGCTTTCATGGCCATTTGTGGACATAAGACAGTGGAGAGAACCCTGAGGCACCAGCATGCGTGAATGAGATTCAACAGGGTAGTGCTTTAACCCTCCTTTCAGTTCTCATACACTAACCAAGTGTCTTCTCTATAGTCTAAGATCATGGCTTTCATATTTCATGCCCTTTTTTGATGATTCTGTTATTTTAAAATGGCCCTCCAGCCAGGCATGGCAGTGTACACCTGTAATCCCTATAATTGGGAGACTGAGACAGGAGGATTGTGAGTTAGAGGTCCACTGGAATACATGGTAAGTTCCAGGCTAGCCTGAGGTACAGACTCCAGCCTGTCTCAAAATCCAAAGATCTTACAATGTAATAATTAAGTGCTGGCTAGTTCCTATGAACAAGAAGAATGTGAAGTTATACAATGAACAAGAAGGATGTGATGCTCCACAGTGAACGAGAAGGATGTGGTGTGTTGTACTGACAAAATGTGTGTGTTATAGCTATTTTGGCATCGCGTACAGTGCAACCATCATGATCTCAATTTAACTATTCAACTTACATAGAATAAAGCACCAAGTATAAGCACTCATGAAGTGGATGCTTGGTGAGCTGACAGGACTGCGATCAGAGGCTCCTAGTAATCCAACTAAGCTAAGGCTCAGTGATGTGTGCTAGTTTAGCATTGATGGTAACTTCATAAATACAGTTCGTATTTGAATACTACTACCAATAATAGTAATCATTACTACTATAATTAATAGTAATAATAATTATTATTATAGTCATGAGAATTGACAGTATTTAAATTTTATTTTGAAATTATTTTGTCCTTTCAGTTTTTTCCCATCATGGAGAAATGTCTATTAATGTAAATCTAGTCCTGAGAGGAAGAAGTAATGTGCTTTTGTATTCTGGTATTTTTAATAAGGAGAAAGTATCACATATATAGTAAGATGTGTTAACAGAGAGGAAATAAAAAGATACATAATAAAACAATAGCTGAGCAAACCATTTGAAATGTATAAAAAATAGAAATGTGCTATATAAAAACTGTAAGTGGTCGATATTTTCAACAATTCTCACAAGAACATGGTTACTTAGATTAAAAACAGATATTTATATATCTTTTATGTATTACTAAAATATACATTTTATAACTGGCTTTTGAAGCATTTCAAAGTATAAAAATCATTCCTAAAAATCTTCAAAACATTTAAATATTGTAAAGGTTTACAATAGTTTATCATAAAATTAATAATATCACAGTTAAAAGTGAGAGACTATGAAAGTTATTGTTTACTTTTTAAGCCAGTGAACTAGGAAATGATGGTCAGCTTCCACTAAGGTAGCTATCTGTCGTAGCAAATGAGCATAGATGACATATGTAGATGTGATATTAAATTGAGGATTCTGAAAAAGATATTAAAGATAACTGTGTTAAAATTGTGTTAACAAGGAAAACCACAAAGCTTAATGAGTTTTAAGCGGCAAATTCAGGAAGCTACATTTGAGTTTGTGTAGTTCTTTAAAAACAATCAACTTGTTACTTAAACAAAACTGGTTTCTGTTACAGGCTTTGGAGTCATGACAGACCTGGATCTGAGGGTTGATCCTACCATATATTAGCTGTGCATCATTAGGCATGGTTTCAAACTTTAATTCTCAATTTTCTCAGCTGTAAAATGGATATAATATCTATCTCAGGAGTTGTTTTGAGTTTTACAAAAGAAAATATATAAAGCACCTTGTTCCATTTTTCATAAATGCTGGCAATCATTATTATTCAATTAAGTAGCAAGAGAATAATGTGGGTTTTCTTTATTTAAAAAAAAAGGAAAACCAAGTAAATGTAAGTTGTAAAACTTTTGCACTGAGAAATAAGTTAGCTTTATTTGTCACAGAGAATAACAAGCATGCACTCTGACAATGTTAAATGTTAAAGGACTGAAAGAATGTTCTTAAACTAAGCAAACCCCACATTTATCTTTCAAAAGCTGAAGCTCCATTACAGAGTATATTGCATACATTTCCATAAAGGTCCTATTATTAAAAATGTCAGGTGGTAAGATGGCCTGGTGGTTCAGAGTGCCTGCTGCCCTTCCAGAGCTCTTAAGTTTGGTTCTAACACTGAGAATTATGTACAATGTTAGTTCCAGGGCATTTGACTTCAACCTTCATGGGTACTACACACAAGTAGCTCACACATAGACACACAAATAAAAAGTAAAAATAAAATTTTAAAAATTAATCCAATTGTGATAAAAAAGAGAACACTGTTTTTCAAAACTGACTAATGGGCAGGAGTGAACTTAGGGCACTGACCTCTTCATCCAGGGAGAGCTCTGGGAAAGGGTGATGTGTGAGCAGAACTCAGAGCTGAGTAACGCACACCTCTAAGATAGCTGAGCTTTATGGGGTCATTTTATAGCTTTTCTTCATCTGCACATTTCCTTTTTCCTCCTACTTTTGATGCTTTTTCTCATTTGTTTCTTTTCTTTTTCTTGGTCATTTCCTACTCCCTTCCCAGTTTTTTGTTTCTTCTTTTGTTTGCCATGTTTCTTTCATTTGAGCATGATACTGATAATATCATAATACTAAACACTATAGCTTAATATTTTTACCTTCAAATGAGTTAACATACCTGAAAAACTTTGACAAATTATAAAGAATGATGTAAATGTAGTGTGTTAACTAAGATAACATAATTTGTTTAAAAATTAAAAATAAAAATTTGCTTTTACTTAATACCTTAATATATTTTCATACTTTTGAATCCATCTCTTTCTCATGAGAAAGCAAGTATCAGTTTGCTTTGTAACAAATAGTAACAACTTTTATGTTTCTGTCAGAATCCTAATGACCATTACTAAAAAATAGGAATCGAGTATATGGGAAAATTCTGTAGCCTGTGCTAATTAGCTCAAAGGAAAGAGTCTGAGTGGAAAAGGAAGAACATCCATCTGTTTGTTCCCAAACACTGTGGAAGAGAGGTATGAACTCACTTATAATTTAATCCCTCATATATTTTAGCTTCTGAGTGTTTGTTACAATGTTAGTCTTTGGGTTACAAGTAAATATTATTCTAAAGAGTATTAATACCATTGCCAAGTAACAGTTATCTAGTTTGCACATGCAGATTGACATATGAATTCAATAACTCTAACTTACCTGTAACAGTATAAAATACGCTCTAAGATCATCTTTTGTTCGTGGACTGAAAAAGGAATATGCATGATTGATTACAGATGAGTGTTTAATTTCATAGTATCTAACAAAACAAGACCAATATATGTGTTTGTAAGAACTGAGAAGCCAAAATGAATTTAAGTTTATGTGCATCATTTTTATTGAGATATAAACATATCTCTAGTGTGCTTGGAAAGTAGTAAACTAGTTTTGAATATCACTTAAAGAGCAAGTTACTGAGGAAAACTGTAGCATTCTAAGGTAAAAGGCAGACTATGGATTATTTTGACTTAATATTTATTTATGCATTAAAGAAAGAAAATGTGCTTCAGTTTATAGTCCACTCCTGAAGTGATATAAATGTCTATAAACTGGCAACAAGCAGGCTGACAGTAGATCCACACCTCTCCTGCTCCTCCAGATCCAATACCTCCAGTCTCATTCCCAGCTCTTAAGCAGAAAACCTGCTGTGGTCTCCTTTCCTTTATGGTCCCATCTCCAAACTGATCACAATCTTCTCCTCCAACTCAACTCATTATCCAAGCCTCTAATACCAGCAGGCATACCCTGGGAAATCATGAGCTGAGCAGGCTATGGAAGCAGGTTCACAGAAAATTTCCTGCTAGGCGCATACAGCAATCACACTCTGAAAAGCCAAAGAATAAACAGAAACCAAGGAACAAAACTCCCATTCAACAAAGACAAACCCAGTACAGCAAGCACCTACACCAGTGGTGCTTGTTCTTAACCTGTGTTCATCACCCCCCACAGGGGTCACATATCAGATATCTTGCATATCAGATATTTACATTATGATTCATAACAGCAGTTAAATTACAGTTATGAAGTAGCAACAAAAATAATTTCATGGTTGGGGTCACCAAAACACGGGGAACTGTACTAAAAGATCATAGCACTAGGAAGGCCAAGAATCACTAAACTAGACCTACTATCATCCCAATTCCAGATACCTAGATACTAATATAAAAGCACCATCAATAACAGTCAGGGCATTCTGTCTCCACTAGAGGCCTGTTCTCCTACTACAGCAGGCCCTTTTAACATAGATAAATACAAGAAAAAGACTTTAAAACCACCTGAATGAAGATAATAGAGATCTTTAAAGAGGAAATTAATAAACCTCTTAACAAAATCTATAAAAACACAAAGAGTGAAAGGAAATGAATAAAATTGTTCAATACTTGAAAATGGAAACAGAATCAATAAAGAAAATCCAAACTGAGGGAATTATGGAAATAAAAAAAATTTAGAAATTGAAACAGGAATTACTGAGGCAAGCTTCACCAACAGAATATAAGAGACGGAAGAAAGAATCTTGGACATTGTAGATAAAATAGAAGAAATAAATACACCAATCAAAGAAAATGTTAAATCTAAAAAATTCCTGACACAAAACACCTAGGGAACCTGGGCACCATGAAAAGACCAAATCTAAGAAAAATAGGAATAGAGGAAGAATAATCCCAGCTCAAAGGCCCAGAAAATATTTTCAAAAAAATGACAGAAGAAAAATTTTCTAACTTTAAGGAAGAGATGCCTATAAATGTTTAAGAAGCATACAGAACACTAAAAAGATTGGACCAGAAAAAAGTCCCCTCAGCACTTAATAATCAAGACACTAAATGTGCAGAACAAAGGGAGAATATTAAACAAACAAAGGGACCTGTTAGAATTACACCCGATTTCTCAATGGAGACTCTAAAAGCTAGAAGGTCCTAGACAGATATTCTGTAGACTTTAAGAAATCACAGATGTCAGCTCACACTACTATACCCAACAAGACTCTTAATCATTATAGATGAAAAAAATAAGATATTCCATTAGAAAACATTTTTAAGCAATATTTATCTATAAATCCAGTCCTGCAGCAGGTTCTGGAAGGAAAACTCCAACCTAAGAAGGAAAACTATAACCACAAAAACATAGGAAATAATTCAGACAACCAAAATCAAAGAAGTCCACACATGCACACACGAGTGCACATGTGTGCACATGTAATACCACCACCACCAATGAAAACAACATAACAACAGGAATCAATATTCACTGGGCATCATTGATATCTCTCAATGTCAATGGTCATAATTCCCCAATAAAAACACACAGACTAATGGAAAGGATGCCAAAACAGGACCAATCTTTTTGCTGTATCCAAGAAACATACTTCAACATCAAAAATAGAAATTACCTAAGAGTAAAGGGTTAAGAAAAGATATTCTAACAAATGGACCTGAGAAAAACAAGTTAGTATAGCTATTTTAATATCAAACAAAATAGACTTCAGACCAAAACTAATTAGAAGAGATAGGGAAGGACACTACATATTCATCAAAGGAAAAATCCACCAAGATGATATTTCTATTATTAACATCTATGCCCAAACAAGGGCACCCACCTTTGTAAAAGAAACACTACTTAAGTCACATATTGACCGTCACATACTGACAGTAGAAGACTTCAGTACATGACTCTCACCAACAGACAGGTGGGTCATCTAGATAAAAACTAAATATAGAAATGCTAGAGCTAATAGATGCTATACACCAAATAGACCTGATAGCTATTTACAGAACATCTCACCCACACCCAAAAGAATATACATTCTTTTCTGTACCTCAAGGAACTTTCTCTAAAATTGATTATATACTCAGACACAAAGCAAGTCTCAACATCAAGAACACTGAAAATCTTCTGCAAGGCAAAGGGTACCATCATTCAAAGTGGCAGCCTACAGAATGGGAAAAATATTTTCACCAACTCTACAACTGACAGAGGGCTAATATACAAAATATATAAATAACTCAAAAAACTTGATATAAAAAGCTAAATAACCCAATTAAAAATGGGGTACAGATCCAAACAGACTTTTCAAATAGGGGAAACTCAAGTAGCTGAGAAATAGTTAAAGAGATTTCAACATCCTTAGCCATTAGGGAAATGCAAATCAAAATGACTTTGAGATTCCATCCTCCACCTCTGAATGGCTAAGATCAATAATACAAATGACAGCTCATGCTGATGAGAATGTGGAGAAAGGAGAACACTCCTCCATTGCTAGTAGGAGTGCAAACATGTACAGGTACTCTGGAAATCAATATGGCAGTTTCTCAGAAAGATGGCAATCAACCTACGCCAAGATCCAGTGTAGAAGAAATTTTGTTGTTTTTTTTTTTAAAAACAGACATATTATGGGAAAGTGCTTTCGTTTTAATTCCAGGTGTGAGATATGGAGCTGCTTTTGACTGTCCACAGCAGCACACTATGATTTGCCTCATGCCCTGGCAGAAGCATGATTTTTCCAGGTGCAGATAGTTTCTGCAAGTTTTTTGATGTCTGGAATTCCGGGAACTTGAGAAGGTATAAAAATGCTCCTCTTCCTCCTCTTCCTGCCTCAGCTGCTGAAGAAGATCCAACTTGCCCCAAGAAACTCAATCCCCTAGTCAGCAGGAAGTAGTCTAATGAGATTGATGCTCCCGTCCTCCTCCTCCTCTAACCTTCTTTCTCTCCTACCTAGTGCTGGGGGTGGGTGTCGGAAGGGTGAAGAAGGGTGGTAGAAAAAAGAATTTAAAAAAGTAGCCAAAGGTCTGGTTACAATCCAGCTATACCATTCTTGGACATATACCCAAAGGTCACTTTATTCTATCATAGGAACACTTGCTCAACCATGTTAATTGTTGCTCTATTTATAATAGCCAGAAATTGGAAACAGTCTAGATGTTCCTCAACAGAAAAATGGATAAAGAAAATATGGTATGTTTACATAATAGACTATTAATTAGCTATTTTAAAAATTACATCATGAAATTTGCAGGCAAATAAATGGAACTAGAAAGAAAAAAAAAACAAACCTCATCCTCAGTAAGGCTACTCAGACCCCAGAAAGATAAATATGGTATGTATTCCCTTATATCTGGATATTAACCATTAAATAAATGCTAACCAAGATACACTCTATAGACCTAGAAAGGGTAGGTATAGAGAAAGGGACTGGGAAGGAGGGGGCACATGGATCTCCCTGGGAGACAGAAATAGAATATATTTTATGGATGGACTGGAGTAGGGAACAAGAATGGGAGGGTCAGGTGGGAACTGGGAGGTGAGATGAGGTTGAGGAAGGGAATGAGGGAGAGTCAGCTAGAACTGAAGCGCATTTGAGGGGCAGTATGGAAACCTAGTATAAGATAGGAAGGTGATCTTAACGAAGTCTCCAAATGATGAGGGAGACGAAACCCCACTGGTTTCATCCGGTGCTGGGGATGGGTTTCATCCAGTTGAGTTGCTGGCTGAAAGGGCTCCATGGACAGTCCCAAAACCCAAACTGCTGCCTAGATAATAAATTGTTCTCCACAAACTGACAATAAGGCCCCATTGCTAAAGAGAAGACCCACACAACTCACTGAACATGGAAAGGTTAAGCTGGTGCCTACAAAGAACCTTCACCACCATGTTCTAGTGTCTATGAAACAGAAAGATATTCTTCTGGCTACCAAAAGAGAATGGTAAACACCAACTCAATCACAAAGCCTTTGCTCTACAATCTGTCTTTCCTGAAAAATATGCTAGGGCAATCATGGCATAAGTCTTGTGAGAGTAACCAACCAATGTCTGATTTGACTTAAGGCCCACTCCATGAAATGGAACCCATATCTGACACTAACACTGCTTGGGTAGTCAAGAACCAGAGACTAGATAGCCCAGAGATCTAGGATAAAACCAAATGATATTTGTCTAAAAAAAAAAAAAAAAAAAAAAAACAAAACCAGCAACAGTGAGTCCTAATGAAATTCTGCTATATACATAGATTGGTGCTTTATTCAGCCATCGCCATAGAAGCTTCCTCCTGCATCGGATGGAAACAAATACAGAAAATCACAGCCAGACATTATGCAGAGAGACCTTGGAATACACAGCTCCAAATGAGATACCTCCAACAAATCTCTCCCTCAGAGCTCAGGGAACTCTGAGGAAGAGGAGGCAGATGGAATGGGAGACAGAGCAGACAAAGGACACCAGGAGAACAAGTCTCTCTACATCAACTGAGCAAAGCTCATATGAACTTAAGAGACTGAAGTAGCAATCACAGGGCCTCCACAGGTCCTCTGGAAACCAGTCCTCTGTATATATATACTATACCTTTCAGTTTATGGGACTCCTGAATGTGTAAATGTGTGGGTCTCTGATTCTTGTGCCTTCTCTTAGGGCTCTTTACTTTTCAATTGTCCAACTTTAAATTTTTTCAAATATTTTATTTTGTTATTATCTCCTAGAAGCCTATTCCTTGCTAATGAGAGATGGAAAGGGAATGGATCTGGATAGAAGAGGGTGTGGGGAGGAACTGGGAGGAGTAGAGGGAGGGAAAACTGTATTCAGAGTTTATTGTATGAGAAAAGAATCTATGTTTAATAAAAGGTGGAGAATGTCTATAAACCAACTCACATCCAGCTGCTAATTAAAAGAATTTTACTTTGTACATCCTGAAATATCTTGATTTTAACATTATCAGTTTTGTCCAGGAGAGTTTTAGTTCCAAATCTGACTAGCGTTTCTCACTTGTTCAAAGTTTATAGTACACTGTCACAGATACGCAGAAGTAAATTTCTAACTTAAAAATGATTCATGAACATGAAATCATTAAATCCAAGATCTTTCACTGGATCCCAGATTAAAGGCAAAAAGCTCCTGGGGATACTAAGCTCTGATGAATTTTCTCTCTGCTCAAGACTCAGGTGTTCACCTATCACTTTATCACTTTGCTGAAGAACTTTCCCATTCCATCTGGGACTTCATCAAGCTAGCAGTGTCATTCATGTTTACATGAATTATTAGTCATAAGCACAAAAAGTATGCATGGGCTTGACATCTCAATGTTTTTGATGAGGCTTTTGTTGTCATGCTCAGGAAGTAGCCAAGGCCCAGTTTGGCTTCAACTCTTCTGGTCTGAGGTGCTTATCTGAGGTAACAAAAGTTTTCTTTAAAGCTAGTAACTTACTTTCTGAAAAAAATGTATTGGCTACAAAGAAGCCCTAGATTATGGACTAGTATTAGTCCTATATTTGCATAGCACATATATCTGAACACAAAAATACACATAATTTTAAAAGGTTCATTGATTTCTTTTTGTAAATTTACAGATCCTAAGAAATCTAAATCTCAGTATACTAAATAGCTTTGTTTCAAGTATTCTATAATTAATCCCTTTCTGATCCATATCATTATTAAAACTGATGTAAGATACTTCCTAAGAGTAAAACACACATAAAGAACTACACGAGATACATATCTAAGTCATCTATACAGATTAAATACCAGTTACAATTACCCTTTCCATTCTTGTAACAAGCTGTTAATGATTCCCTTCAATACTGACTTCTGAATATCTTGAGGCTAGAGGCAAAAGAAAATAATTAAGATATAATAATTATTAGGATATTTTGTGATTTTTACATTAATCTTACTTGCAGATCTGTTTGAATAATGACAAGCAGACTTAGTGACTGGAGAGCAACACTAAGCAGTATCTGATTCACACCTGAGAACTCCAGGGACACCAGTGATGTAGACTACCATGAGGTTGCTCTCTGGGATATGCAGTATACAGTCTGCAGAAATATACAAGGTGATCTTTTGATGACTAGCAACAATTTTATATAACTCAAAAAAATTCATTTTTCTTTCCTTGAGAGGACAAAATCACAAGCCCAACAGTATTGTATTTACTAATTTAAAATGTTTGGCACACATTTTGGGTATGTACACATTGATTCAAGTTATACTTTTTTGTGCTAAGGGTTTCAGTACATAAACTAGGCTGGCCAAGACCTTTTGATCTTCCTCAGCTTCTTAATTGCTGGGATTACAAATTGCACAATTATACCTGGCCATTAGGGATGCATTTAATTCCAGTAAGTTAGTCTTGGTAACTCAGCAAGTGCTACCAAGATATGTTCTGTTAAAATTACATTTTTCTTTTATTTTAAGATGATAATGTAATTACATCATTCCCCCTTTCCTTTCTTTCCTCCAAAACCTCCTATACAGCCCTGTTTTCTCTCTTTCGAATCCATTGTATCATTCTCATTAATTATGTGTATAGGTAATATGGTACACACACACAGTCTGTATGATGTTACTACATGTATATATGTTCTCAGGGAAGATCTGTGGTATTGAATAACCAAATAAAAGAAAAACTGTTTTATCTTAGTGCCTCAAACAAAGTCATAAGAAAGGAAGTATAAACCAGTGGTTCTCAACCTATGGGTCACAACTCCTTTGGCAAACCTCAATTTGCAAAAGTAATTTACATTATAATTCATAACAGTAGCAAAATTACAGTTATAAAGTAGCATTGAAAATAATGTTATGGTTGGAGGTCCCCACAACATGAGAAGCTGTATTTAAGAGTCTCAGCATTAGGAAGGTTAGAGCCACTAGGGGAGACTAGTAAAACAGCCAAAAAAATATTAGCAAATTGAGCCAAAAACATTTAAAAACTGATACACTTTGGCCATGTAGGATTTAGTTCAACTTTACAAGGATGATTTTACCATTGGAAATACATGAATATAATTAATCACATTAATGAACTGAATTCTTGATCTCTACTTAAGACCTACTGTCTCTGAGCCTGTGTCACTTCCCGTGACTGATTCAGAGCTAAACTCTGAGAATCACTCAAGTCACCTTTCCTGAGTAAGTAAAGCAGGTTTTAGAAAGTCTTTCTAAATACATATTATATACAGAAATATTTTCTGTTTAATTCTCAGATAATTAGAAAAAGAATGACCTAATTTTCTGAATATTCTATTTATCATAAAGTTATATCTGATTGTTTAGTATAATTTTGTTACAAAGTGGCTATGTCTGAAAAAGAGGAGCTGGAAAGATGGCTCAGAGGTCAAGAACAATTGCTAATCTTCCAGAAGACCTAAAATCAGTTCCCCGCACCCATATACCTGTATACCACATACCAGCTCATAACCACCTGTAATTCCAGCTCCAGGGGATCAGGTGCCCTCTGCTGGCCTCTGTGGGCACCCTTATACACATAATTCATTCACACAAACACACCTAAATTAAAAATTAAAATGTATCTTTTTAAAAAATAGAAGAGTTGTGCAATAAAGAAGAGACATAGAATTATACTACTCGAGTATGTCCATAACAATGCTTACAGTATTAAGTAAGGCATCAAATACAGCATTCACCAAATTGGCATTAATCCCAGAGTCCTCGATAGTGTTAAATGAGGATGTGGCATCTTTCTGAAAATTCAATTAAAGAATTAAATATGTTTAACATTTCATGAATTATTCTTAATATCTGAATTATACTTTTTTATAATCTCAACTAATCTTATGGTCTGATGATCAAAAAAATTATTAAGGCAATTACTGAAAATAAAATTAATGTATAAGAATGGCTTTAATAATTTTTAAAATTGAAAGAAATCAAATATTAATAATAAAATATTTAGTAAATCACAAATATCTTGATACATATAATTTTAAAATACATATTGTTTATCAATACTGACTATAAAATGGAGTCTCTTTTTTAAATTTAAAATTATAAGTGAATGAAAGGTATCTTTTATATATTATTTATTACCTTAAATGCAGCATTTAATTCTGTGAAAGAATCAAATGCTGTTATATAAAAAGCATGTACTGTTTTCCAATTTCCTGTGGCCTCAGCTTTTTCTAAATCTTCCCTAAAAAATAAACAAAATCATATATTAATCGTAAGTGAAGAGAAACATCATTCAGATAAACAGCATTTCTTAAAAAATGAATATCATGCTAAATATGTAATTTTAATACTGAAAACAACATAAATCGGTTATAGTTAATACAAACAGTATATAAATGTTTTAGTTCTTAATTATATTAAAGTACTAATTCACTGTTTCCATTTACTTTTTTTTCCTAATAGTCTTGTTCTGTAGCCCATGTTGGCCCCAAACTTGGGGTGTTCTTTCTGCCTCAGACTCCTGAGTGCTAGAATTACTGGTGCGTACTACCATGTCCAGCTAAGACTCATCACCTTGACATGTGCCCTTTCTCACTCTCTCCTTTTCTTCCACAGTCCACCTTCTGGAGCTTTTGGACTTTACAGCTTGAGTCTCTCCTTTCCCATTCCCACGTAAGTGCTTCAAATTATGCAGTTTGATTTTCTGAATGGTGACACAGCTTTTAGACAATGGTTACATAGTAGATGAATTTGTGTGTGTGTGTGTGTGTTTTAATGGTAAAATTAATTTTTTGCCATTGTTTTGGGACAATTCTGACTCATTCTCTTGGTGTTTGCTGTCTTTTGCTACAACATATCCACTATCCATTATTCACACATTTATTTATATTTTCAACTTGAAATATCTTGTCTTTTGTGTCTTCATTTTTGTCTAATATCTTATAAAAATCTACAAATTCAGCTAATTTTTCAGGGAAAGATGTTAAGCTATGCAAAGCACTGACATGCAGATGACTGTCAGTCTACACAGAAGAGTGTGTTAGAACTTACTCAAAGTCTTTCACAGTTTTAGGCTGGCTAGGAAGAGCAGGTTCTGGAAGGGGTGGGACCTTTACTTCAGATGATAATGCATCCATAGACATGCGCTGTTTTTGTCTAACATCAAGACAAATTGGTGGTAGGTCTCTCACTGTGAAGTGTAAGAGAACAGTCCATGTAATTAATCAAAGCTTTTTCAAATTATCAAATATCAGAGTAATTCAACATAAACAGAAAACAAAGCATTTTATAATGCATTCACTTTGGGATTATGTAAGAAATCCCCTATCCCAGTGAAGGGCACTTTCAGGCACTTCATTTCTAACAGCCATTAGACCGTACTTTCCATAAACTCAGACCCTTTAACAGCCCTTTGACTATACCTTATAGAAAGTTAGAGTTGACTACTATGGCTCCATTCCTCCCCAAAGCCCTTCATAGATGAAATGTATAGTTCTTTCTCTCTCCTTCCTTTTTAAAGATGTCTTTCAAGGAATAGTTCAGTGAAACTTAACATTATCAACACTTATTATAAGTTATGCAAATAACTTATATATGCTTTCTTATCAGAGCCCACAATTAATAAGATCTTATTTGCCTCTGTCCCCTTATTTTTTGGGTTTTGTACTGGCCCATATTTGTTCTTCCATTTTCTTGAAGTAGTTCCATGTATTTAAGATCTTACTTTCTTACTGGGGACATGCATTTCTCGTGTGTTTTCATGGTCTTCCTGGCTGCTCCTTAGTTCCTTTTTGTAAATGAGAGTTACAAATTTGACCATGATCCTTTTTGCTGCTAATTTTTACTTGAACATGTTATTTTTGAGCTCTCAGAACCAAGAGCACCTCTGTCCTTGTCAATTTCTGTGTAGAATCCAAACAAAGAGACTTCTATGACCCATGTCCCCCCCCCTTTACTTTCACTCAGGTGTTAGTTTTCTTCAGTCACTATGCTGCTCAGTTTGCTTGTAAGCTCAGTATAGGGTGCCCTGGGATAAGAAGGGCTGTCAGTTATCTCTGAGAATTCTCAGGGATCTCACTGCTTCCTTTAGACCTCATCATGGGACCTCTATGTTCACCTGCTCTTGATAAAATCCCTTCAGCTTCAGCTTTTGTTCTAGATCCTGTCTTCTGAGCTTAACAACGAATATCTATTACTTACTTTGAAATTCTCTTATTCCAAGATCCACCAAACAGCTTCACTTAGTTCTCCTGATGATACCTCCTGCCCAGCAGCTCACACCAGGGAGAACTTCAGTTATTTATTCTGTTTATTTTTAGGGGTTTAAGTGGCTACTTTATCAGGTAACTTTATTGTAAATGATGCTCATGGTTTTAAACATTGATACATCGTTAATCTATGTTTTATATAGTGATTTAAGGAGACTGAAAAACTGTGTTTCTGCTGCTATACTCACAGAATCTAGCACTTGCCCTTTTTTATTTTAGAAAATAGGAAAATTGTCTCACAACTCCGTTAGCTAATTTTACCTACTTTCCCTGTAGTACTTTGTATTTTTATAATTGGGGAACTTGCAATCTAAATCTCTTTTATTGTGTTTTTCTTCATGGAAACATATGTAAACACTAAGAACAATGTTCAGTAAGTAGTAAATGATCATCAGGGTACTGATGCCATCAGTGGATTAACTGACTAGTAAGTAAGAGTCGAATGGGGTATTAGAAGGTGTGGCCTAACTAGATCAAGAAGGTTACTGTTTTAGTCAGCATTCTATTGCTGTGAAGAAACACCATGACCACAGCAACTCTTATAAAGGAAAACATTTAATTGGGGCTTGCTTAAAGTTTCAGAGGCTTTGTTGCCCATTTTCATGGTGGGAAGCACGGCTACATGCAGGCATACATGGTGCTGTGAGTTCTACACTCAGGTCTGTTGGCAGCAGGAAGACAGAGTCACTGGCCCTGGCTTGAGCTTTTGAAAACCTCAAAGCCCACCTCCATTGACATTCTTCATCCAACAATGTCACTCCTCAAAATCCTTTCAAATAGTGCCACTCTCAGGTGACCAGGCATTCAAATCTATGAGCCTAGGAGGGCCATTCTCATTCAAATCACTAGTTACTTACTGGAAGTGTGCCTTTGAAGGGTTTATTTATCTTATCACCAGACCACTGTCTCTCTCAGCTTCTAGCTGCCATGTATTTACCCCGTGTATAATGGGGCTAAGTGACAATGGATTAAAACAGTGACTCAAAGTGAATCTTCCCTCCGTTTAAGTTGATTTTCTAAGTTATTTTGTCCCAGTTTATATATATATATATACACACACACACACACACACACACACACACACACACACACACACTAGCTAACACAATCTATTTTAAAATAAACTTTTCCTATTAGAAGATAGTATACTTTTCCATTTTTCATATGCCATAGAGTATGGCTTTCACGGTTTACTAAGCAAGCTTGAAACACTGACTCCTTAGAGTCTGGGGTGAAGCAGGTGGGGTAGGACATAAGAAATTCATGTCTAACATGCTCCCAGGTGATGCTGACGCTGCTTGTCTAGGGATGGACTATGTGATATACTATTCAGTGAGGTGAGGTGAGAAGGTAGTGATGCTGAAAACACACAATATAGATTACTATATTTCTGTGTTTCTATAATTATTTTACACCTCTTATTAACTATGCAAATATTAAAGATCTAGCAGTTTGTACTATAAACATAGATTTGATAAAGGCTTAATTCATTATCAAGTAAAATTAAATATTTCCAAAAATAATTTCTTATGTTTAAACATTTTTATTAATAGTGAGGGACATTTTAGCAGAAAAGAACTTAACTCCAGTCTTGTTACAGTGATCTTTTGTGACTTTTCTATCTTTCTTCATTCTTTACTAGGCTTACCCTTTCCTATCCCTTCCTACACACTTTTCCCAATCTGGCTATAAACACCTTCTATTAAACACAAACAGACTCATTCAAATATAAATTAGCTTATTCACACACTAAGCCTATATGGGTGTACATTTTTATACCCACTCACTTTTATAAATACCATGCTGAGGTAGAACAGTGAAATTCAAGTCAGTAAGAGAAATTGGTTTTGGCAGAGCCTGAGAGTGGGAGAGTGTTCTATAAGAGAGACAGTAACGCTGAGACTGGGAGGACTGTCCATTGAGATAGCACCAGAGGCCAACAGCAGGTTCTATGTTTAGTTCTAAAGGTAACTTGACTGATGAAAACTGCAGAATGTTAACATGCATGTTAATGAAATCCAAGTCTAAAAGAGGAGCAGAATCCTTTTCTCATATCAGTGAATGGAAGCCAAATTACAGGATGTGACATTCAGCTATTAAGGGAAGAAAAATAACAGCTCGCAGCTGCTCTTATGTCCCTAAATATCAAAGCATTGTTTCTAGAGAATGGTTTTCTGCCTTTTTTCACAGATGGCTTTTATTAAAGTTCAACTCAAATGAGAAAACCAATAACTATGGTGATTAATTAAACTTCATATCAATATAATAAATAAAAACAGGAAAATCTTCATTCTGATATAAGCAACTGCAATATATGAGGATATTGTAATACAATAAAAAAGGAAAAGTACATTTGTGAAAACATGTCATTTAGGTTTCATTCAGTCAATACTTGGAACACTCCATGCTAAATTGATAAGCAGTAATAATTTTCCTTCCTTTTAATAAACTGCTGCCTATTTTAGCTTGTTGCTTAGAAACATTAAGCAAAACACTTGAAGCCAATGTAAGAAGAATATGACCATGACGAGGGCTGGTAGTATATTAAAACGTGTGAGATTGTAATACAGTTATGTATAAGGGTGTGAGATTATTAGCAAAATTTTGCCATTTCACTATTTATGGGTTGACTCTGGTTGAAAATGGCATATGTAGCTTTCTACAACTGCAATAATCAAAATAAAAACTGACATTTTGGTTGGTTATATAAAGACTGTTCCTGCATAGCCATCAAATATAGTAACAGTAGCTCAGAGATATACAGAAGTACCTATATATCTATATATCTATATATCTATATAGACTGTCTGTTCAAGAGAAGTAACCTAGGTCCATGTGCTGTTGACAAGGAAGTACTGGCAGACAGAGTTGCTGCTTTTAATACACACTACAAAATATTATACCCTAAGTTTCATAAATAATGGGAAAGTCCCAGCCTTAAAAATCAGGGACTTAATTACTGCTTGCTGAGTTACTCTGTTAACCTTAGTCACTGAGGCTCTTGGAACACTAGCTCTGATATAAAATGATTGAAATGGTCAGTCATTCCTAAGGTTGCAGAGAACCTGAAAGGCCAACTTGGGGTGTAATTGAATGGACTGTTTGACTAGGAGTAGCTTACCCTTTCTTTACTTAAGCTAACAACTCTTTGGGATTTTTTATATTGTAAATATCTGTTTACTGCTCTAGTTAGCAGTGTGAACCTGGGAACATGGGGCCTAAAAATGAGGGGCCTAAAGTTTCATTCAACAGGCAACTTTATATAGAACATCAGACAATTATACTGAGGTTAAGAAGAGCCACTCAGGTAAAGTATACAATCACAAAGACCAGCCAAAATGTTTTTTCATAGAGGCTGTGGTAGTCTAAGTGAAAACGGCCCTCAAAGGGAATGGCTCTATTAGGAGGCCTCATTGGACTAAGTGTGGCCTTGCTGAAAGAAGCGTATCATTGAGAGTAGCCATTGAGGTCTGAGATGCTCAAGCCAAGCCTAGTGTCTCACTCTCTTCCTGTTGCCTGCTGATCCAGATGTAGAACTACCAGCTACTTCTCTAGTGCCATGAGTGCCTGTGTGCCCACAACACTTTCTGCCATGATGATAATGGACTAAATCTCTGAACTGTAAACCAACTCCAATTAAATGCTTTCTTTTATAAGAGTTGCCATGTCATGGTCTCTTCACAGCTATAGAAACCCTAACTAAGACAGGCATATGAGTAACAACAGCTGAAGTAAACTCACTCCTATCTGCTACACCTGGAAGGAGCATGAAAACACATCCCAAGAACAGTTCTGTGTTTTGAAAAAACTGAGGTAACAAGACTCTTGTATTATTTTCTGTTCCAACAACTATTCAAAAACAAAGTAGATAGGACTTACAAAACAATCAAATACAAAAAAATTCTCTCATCAGTGTGATTAA